GTTATTTTGTTAGCATAGTTGCTTCTACTTTGGTTGGAATATATCAAGGGGGAAGATCTGGGGAAATTTAGTGTAATGCGATTTTTCTTTTTTTAGATTAATTTTTTACTTTATTTTTTCTTAGGAGTCTATATAGCTTTGTTTTTAGTTAGTTTTATTTTTATATTTTCCTTTTATTTTTTTTGTAAATTGTAAAGTTCGAATAAATTTAATAAAGATAAAGGCTACTATGCCACGTTTGCCTAGTTTTTGACTAGTGTCAAGTCTATTACTAAGTCAAAAAAAGCTACACTAACAATTACTACTCTGTTTTTAGAGCAATTAATAACAGAATAGGAATATATAAAAGGAATCAAAAAGCAAAACTTTAGAAAGAAATATCAGTATATTAACATATTGTATATGAACAGACTTTAATTTAGCAAATAAAAGGTGATATATATGATTTAAAGGGAAGAAAAATTATCAAACATAATAAACAATAATTAATTGCTTTTGAGAAAATAAGATAATATATAAATTAGTTTATTAGAAAGGAAATAGGATAATTTGAAAAGTATATAATAATATTAAAATATATAAATACAAATATAATTCTTCTTTTTGTTAAAAAGGTAGTGAAAGTATATATTAAAGCTATATGATAATAATGATTCTATATAATCTGATAGCTATTATAGGAGAATATAAGTAGTAAATTACATATAGGTAATACAGTTAGCTCTCAATATAACAAACCCTTTAGTTTTCATCTCAAATTTGCTATAAGATTATAGCAAAGAATTTAAAGAATTTAATTGGCTGATTCATTATAACAAGGGATATTAGATGTATTTGATTGGTTAAATGTCATGTGTTAAGAAAATTTTGTTGTAAAGCAAGTTCGTTATATTGAGAGTTGACTGTAATAAGGTATAGAAGCAAATTTATAGGATCATGAAAAACTGATTCAGAGTTTTAATAGATTAGAGAATGACCAGAAATGATGTAATTTAAATTTTAGGATTTTTGGCCCCTCCCCTCCCTAGTATGTTATTATTCATTTTAGGAAATGTAGAATTAAAACATAATTCTGGCTAGAATTATATTAATTACAAGTGTCTAAAAATGGAATATATGTAACATCATCATGGTCTTAACCCCTTCCTCCCTTTAGAAAATAACCTCATTTCTGGCCATCCCTTTAGTTATATATAAAGCAGGAATTTCTGTACTTTTATATAACTAATAAACTTATAAATTACACTACCTTGCAAAAAAAAAAAAAAATTTTATATTACCTATATTATATTAGATATTATATCATTAGTATTTAACACTATATATAATTATTATCTATAATTTATATAGTTTTTTTATTTGTAATTTTTTATATTATTAGTATAAATTTAATTTAATACCTATTACTTAACATATATTTTATGTTTTTTTAAACTTTTTTTTATTTTGTAATATTTGCAACATAAAAAAAAATTATACTAGTTTAATCTTTTTTTATGGTTATTTAAAAGTTATTTTAATTAGTATAATTTGTTTAATTCAAATTTTAAACTATAATTTGTTTATTATAGTTTTAAGCATCAGAATAGTAAAGTTATATATGCATTATTTAGAAGATTTTGGATAAGTTTTGTGTGTTAGTGTGTTTTAACACATAATGTTAACAAAGCTATAAAAATCACGTGACTTAGTAAAATATTCTACCCATTCAAAAAAAAAATTAGAACTAGTATTAGAATTAGGTAGATAGTACATATCCTGGCTTAAATATGTGTGACATACACTATTCTGATTTGCATAATCACTAAAATTTAATTAGTAAATGAACAAAATCGACCATGTGAAAAATAATTATTTTTAATTAAAAAAAAAAGAAGGTTTTTTTGTACGACATATTTTATATTTAAATGATCTGCAAAATTTTTAAAAAATATAGTTTTTACAGCTTGGTTTCTACAATATCTTACATTATTGTTGCATAAAATAAATATCTTTTATAATTGTTTCGTTTTAATTTACTTTTTGAAGTAAAATCAAGAATTATATCATTTTTTTTAAGTTGATCCTATTTCAAGAAGTTACATTTTCATTTATGAATAAGAATGAGTAATTTTGTACTTTTCTCAATTTTTTTTTCTCGGCATCATTTTTATGGATCAAAATTAAAATTCATAATGTAACACTCGAAAATTTACTATGTTGCTAAGGAAGGTTATGAATGTACTGTAACTATAATGTATTTTTAGAAAATAAAATCTTGTCTCTATAAATCATTTTGTTACCACAGTAATTATTTTAAAATTATTTCAATATAGTTTGATATACTGAAAATTAACTTTTAAATGATCTTTAGGTGATAATGAAACGAGTCCTGTTTTATAAACTATCGATGATTCAGAATAATAAGAACTTAAAAAAAAGATTGTCGAAGATATTTTAATTTAAATATAATAATAATAATAATTATAACGAATAATCTCCACATAAAATTATGATAGTTACGGTTAGTTTTTTTTTTAAAAAGAATTTTTTTTTAAGAAAAACTTGATACTAACTTGATTGCCTTGATTGCCAAGTTGCAAAGATTTTAGCCCCACAGCCACGTTACTGCAATGTTTACATATTTATTTACACAATGGAAATCTTCGGGGTAATCATTTTTATTAAATGTAGTACCTTTTCAGCCATTAAAAATTAAATTATAAAAAGGGGGTTCGATTAATTATATAAAAAGAAGAAATTTTTCTCTCTCTCTCTCTCTCTCTTTTTTTTTTTCTTTTACTCTTCAAGTCTTCGTTTTATATAAACATGATATTATTAAGAGAAATTATTTTAAATATTGTTGAATTTCTTAAAGATGATATATCGACTTTATATTCATGTATTTTAGTTAATAGAGAATGGTGTAAAATTATCATTCCTATTTTATGGAATGATACATTTAAAAGAATTAGACCGTTCAATAATAATGGACAGTCACCTGAAGGAAAACAATTAATTTCCACTTATATCAAATCATTATCACAGGAATCAAGAAAATCACTGAAAAAATATGGAATTAAATTTTTAACTAAAGAAAAATCGTTATTTAATTATTCGGAATTTTTACGAAGTTTAGATGCTTATTATTTGAAAGTTTATGTTAGATCATGGTTTTATTTTACGACAAGGGATGATATAGATATTGCAAAAAAAAATTATAAGACTGAACAAATTCAAATAATGTCACTTTTATTATTAAATCATTTCTTAGAACAATCATCATGTTTAATTTCTTTGAAAATTGCAAGTTCGGATATAACTGAAGAAATCGTTAAAGCTTTACAAAATAATTCACAAGCGAGGAGTTGTTTATCAAATTTAAAAAGTCTTAAACAGCATCATAATGTACATCCAGTATCTACTAGATTATTATCACAATTGGCTGAACACTCTTGGAATATTCAACATATAGATGTTGCTATACATACTGAAATATCAGAATTATCAACATTAATCTTTTTTCAAAGAAATTTAAAAAGATTAACAATTCGTAATAAAAACGTTGTTGTTGGATCTCGGATTTGTAAAAATTATACTTTATCAAATAGAATTGATGATATAGTACCTGCGATATTACATCAATCATCTTCAATGACTCAATTAAAATTGGAATCTATTAAATTTCCTTTGGAATTTCTTAATCAATTTAATAATTTAACTGAATTAGAATTAAAATTATGTGGTTATAATCAAGAAGATTTAAATAATTTTACTCAAATTTCATTAAATAATTTGGAAATATTTTTACTTGAAAGTAAATATCCTATTTATTTAAAACCGTTCGTTGATTTTATAAGAAATTCGGGTAAAAATTTAAAAAAATTTTTATTACATGGATGTCAAATTGAAGATCCTGAAAATGCTCAAAGTATAATAACTTCATTAACAAATTTTTCACCAAATTTAGTTTATTATGATGGTCCTATATTAAAAGATAATACTTTTGAATTAGAAACAATGTTGAATCAATGTACTCAATTACGTACTCTTTTATTACATCCTTCTATTCCAAGATGTTATTCTCCTATTCCTTCAATTAATTTTGATCCTTTATTTAATATTATTACTCATAACAAATCTCATAAATTAGAAAATTTAGTTATAATTCATGCTTGGAAAATTTCGGAGGGTGCTTTATTAGATTTTTTTGAAACTCATAAGAAAAAGAATATTGGTCCTATTCAATTTAATTATGAAAAAGATTGTACAGTATTTCCTGGTATTAGTACAATTTGTAGTAAATATAATGATTTTGGGGTTGGTTTAGATTGTAAAATTACCTATTATCCTAAATACTACTATCATTAGTTAGAGAATTATAAATAAATGGTGGAAATCACCATTTGATGCGTCATTAATACGTAAACGCTATTAATCACGTGATCCTATTCGATCTGATATTGGATATATAGTGATATTTTTCGTACAATTAAGTAAAATAAAAATAAGTATAATTATAAATATCTGAGAATTCCTTTACCTTTTTATTTAGGAAAAGTTCATTTTTTTTATTCATCATTGGATTTGTTTGTATCGATAAGTAAGATGTGTTTTTTTCCATGCATCTTCATTGTAATACTACTAACAATTAAATAATATCAATATTAAATTCTTCCTTTCTAATAATGTGTAGTATGCGTGCGCGGAGTTGTGTAATTTTGCATGCATTGAAATAATAAAGAATTGTGGTGTATGATATTAGTATATAAACTAATCGCGTAAAGGTTTGTAGAACTTATTGTTCCAAATATTGTCATACATACTGTAATCTAAGTATCTAACGCGTGAGAATCAATAAATATTTTAATGGGTCGCATTCATTTTACTGACAATCATTTCACCAACAGATATCTCATAGATAGACATTTCAAGGGAATTAGGATTAGAGTTATGGTTAGGGTTAGAATTAGAATAAGGATTTCAAAACTGTCGGTGAAATGACTTTCGGTAAAATGACTTTCGGTAAAATGATCCTATCGGTGAAATGATTCTCGGTAAATGATCCTTGCGAAATGTCTGTCAGTGGGATAATTGTCGGTGAAACTTTTGTCAGTGATTGTCGGTGAAATGATTGTGAAATGAATCGGTCACATTTTAATCACCATACATTTCTTTTTAAATAATTGCCGCGCCATCATATCATTTGAATCGTTGCTAAAGTTGCACATTAGACTTTTGATCACTTAACCTATGCCAAAAACTCCTCTAGCCGTGGATGCTTAATCTCTTCTGGCAAGACCTAATTAAAAACAACTATGGTAAGACTTGTTATTTTCACAATTGGGCTGGATATGATAGAATCCGTTTTTACAAACCCTGGAAGACCTTTGTTCCTAAAAGAACCGTTCCTATAAAGTAAATTAATACCGGTATAAATTTTTCTTAATAAATTACTGATCTATAAGTTTTTTTTTTTTTGATGTAAAATTACTAGTTTTCTGATGTAAAATTAATTGCTAATTGAGTTTGATAAGTATAATTATTACATAAGATTTAAATGCTCTCGGTATCTTTGAAATTTACAGAAAACATTATGTCGTGAAAACAGCTGCAAAATCTGGATTAGAATTATATTATCCGGATTAAATCCAAATTAAATATATGATAATTATATATCTAATATATTGAATAAAATTACTTAATATTATATATTATATAAACTTTGGTTTTTTTATTCTTTTAATGCAATCTAAATTTATTACACTTCTATTTCTAATAATGCTTCTTCTTCTAAGTTATTCCAATCTGACGCAAAAACTTCTATAACTTTCATATTTCGTTTTAAAAAGAGCATTTTAATCACTATTCCCTTTTCATCCAAGAATGTACATATTCATAGTTCTCCATTAACATCAAAACATTTTGTAAAATAACTATGTGCGATTTCATGTTTTCTGCTCTCTATTATAAACATTAATTAAAAAAAGGTAAAATTTTTATTCTTTTTAATAAAAGAATTATTTTCAACCTTTTCTTCTAATTTCATAGGCAGTAGTCTCTAAATTTGTATTCTTTGAACTTAAAGGGCTTCGTAAACTTCAATTAGGAGATTCTTCATTATCCAAATCAATTTCAAATATTATTATTTTCCATTGTTTACAATAATTTAAGTGAGACGTAAAGAATTTAAAATAGTAAATCAGTATTTAACTATTTATATACTAATTCGGATTACATAAACTCGGATAACCGAAATCCTAGCAAAAATCACATGTTTAGACATTAATAGCCAATCACTCTTTGACCACATGATAAAAATTATACCTGTTCAGGTTCTTTATCCTTTATTATTTTTTTATTTACTTGTTATTTTAGCCAAACTATTTCACAGATATAGGACCAGAACAAATCCGACTACTGATCAGACTCACCCTTCAGAAAAAAAATTCTGCGGAACGGGAGACGTACATCACCGTCCGAGTTAAGTTAATTAAGAAAATGAGAAAGGATAAAAAGAGCTATTCCGAAGGGGCTATTAAAATAAATTCGTAAAAATTACATGAAAGAGAATAATCTATATTAACAAAAGAATTTAAAAATTATCTAAAGATTTAATCCAAGGAATATTATGTAAAAAATTAGAAGAAGTAAAATAAATCCACATATGCATTTCATCGAGTTTACGTCTATGGTCGTGAATAGTTACGCGTTCGAGGCGATGGTTTCTGATCATTTCTTTGTTTTCGTTTACGTTTAAAGAAGCTAAAGGATCTCTTCGTTATATTATTTTCTAATTTCCACTCTTTGAATTTTTTGACATCTGACTTTCCAAATATTTTCGTATACAGTAGGTCTTTATGTAAATCAAATAGAAAATTGTTAATTAGTTTTTTGTGGGCATTCTTGGTATTCCTGCGGCTATAAATACTGCAACTAATTAATTGGGAACTAGTATATTGAGGTGAATATTGTCTCCAATTGGAAAAGTTGGATGACGTAGCCATGAGAAAAGGCCGCAGTAACGTATCGAGTCTTCGTATAAGAGCGGTGATTTATCAGAATGATATGCGACAAATTAGAGTAATGTTTCATAAAAATATCCTTAATGGTCAGTAAAATTTCAGGGCAAGTCCGGAAGTGTTCATTAGTTTCTGGATGAGATCCACAGAAGAAACAAAGTTTCAAATTATTGAGTAAATCCGAGTAGTTTCTATGTAAAATATCTAACGTCGGTAAATTTAGTGTCGATGTCTTGATACTATATGTTGACTATAATTCATGCGTAAAAAGGATTATAATTAAGCCAATTCTGAGATAATTCCCAATTAATTTGATTATCTATTGTAATATGACGTATTTGTTTTAGAGATTTATGTGAAAGATGATGTTCAAAACATTTGAAATTCAATAATTTCGTTTAGATTTGCGAATATTGCGATCAATTGTTATGTTGTTATTAAAGAATAATGCACAGGGATGTTAATCCAACTACGATAGACCTTCTTATCTGCCAGGCTAAACTTTTCAGAGTAATCGTCACGTGACGGCTATATGTTTATGGTAACTCGGATGACATCTTATGCAGGTGACAATTAGAGATCAGACCACAAAAAAAAAATTAAGTTGCTGAAATGCTGAGATAAAGTATAACGCGGCAGTCACGTGAACGGTGACGGTTAGGCATCATTAATCACGTGCAGAGACTAACACTATATAAGTAGCTAATTGGGTAAACCATCTTTATTTTACATTCTCATTCTGTGGCCAAGATGTTCAGACGCTCTTCAAATGCAACTAATATAGAACGAAGAAATGACAACAATAAAAACAATAAAGTTTACTGTAAATGCAAACAGTCCGGACATTTCGCGAGGAACTGTAAAGCACCTAGAGAAGTTAAATCCAAACCACTCGCAGCTGGAAAAAGCCAAAATACACGCGTCTCCAAACGTACACTCAAAGAAAAGAACCCAAAGAAAGTAGCGTGGAGTGAAGAAGATGCGGTAAGCAGTTCTCAGTTGCCCAGTTACCAAAGAAAGCCACGTATCTAATCCTGCTTGATCTTTCATCCTTTAAGACACATCGCCAAGCACTCGTCAAGTGTGCCAAGGCATACGCTGAAGCTAGACAGGAAGTACTCTCCATTCCGAATACTTCAGTTGTCGGAGACATACAATATGCAGTGTGTCTCCTTAATCAACAACGTAGAGCTGAAACCTGGCCAGATCAGTTCGAACCAAAATACGATCTCTCAGAGTCTCCATTAAAATAAGTCAATTGTCCTCTTGTTTTTTCTATTTACCTTTATTTTTAATTTTATATATTTTTAGGGAGGCCTTAGTTGCGGGCAGAATCATGATGGAATTCTCAGACTTAACAACAAAATTACATCAAGAGCTTAATTACGATTTTTATTGGGCTGTTAATGAAACCTCAAAAATTCTTTCAAAAGTTCTGGGAATGCCATATGATGATGATGATCTTGAAGATTATGACCTTGGAGAGTGATAGCCCTATGGAAGGTCTATACACCAAAAAGTGTATATCTATCGATTCCAACATTAAAATTAGTCGATGATAAATAAGTCTATGGTTATTATACGTCATCACCCGTGCCTCCACAACATGAATATAATAATATAAGGATTTCGAAAGAAGTATAAATACTATCTTTAGCTTTTGATCGTTCATAATTCATTAGAATAAATAAAAGCAATTTGCGTAGTCTTTTTACTATATGTAGTATAAATTTCCTAATTCAGATAACTATTAATTCAATATGTGAATAAAGTCAAAATTACTTCCCAAAAGGCATGGAACGTAAAGTGAACTTTACGTTACATATTGGTAGTATATTAATAAAGTGCAGAACGTAATATGTAAGGCAATGATGTCCCTAAATTTTTTTCCGTTTGTGTTAGACTTTCGTGTTGACTCTTTGACCTTTGCACGATTTTCAACAATTTCAATATAATATGATTTTCTGGAACAGTAGGCGAATCACATGTATATGCAAACGTTTCCATTTGCAATGTTTCACTATCGGATTCTCCTAATACATATTTACTGAAGATGCAGCGCAATTTTGTGCAAGATGTACAAAGAGCAAAATCACGAACTCTTGCAGCAACTAATATCATCTGATGCAAGCTCTTGACATACAAAGTTACTTTTTTTTTTACTTGGAAGATTAATTTCAGTAGTATTACGCCCATATAGTGAATAGAAATCTTGATAGTGATCGGGATCTAAATTAAAATTTTGATAAACTGATAAGAAAAACCAAAATTGTTAAAAAAATATAAAATTACCATACCACTTGATATTTGTGGAAGTGTAATTGATTAAAAATCTCCTTAATCAATAGGACCACAAATTACACATTCATTTTCCCGCATTTTTTGATCTTAAATAGCCAATATCGATATAAGTAAAAGTAATAATTTCAAAGAAAATATAATGTAAATCATACCTGGAATGAATATTCTCGAACTAAACAATGATATAATTTAATAAATTCTTGTAAATCAACACAAGTACGAAGTTTATTTTTGTAGTATTATTTTGAGTAACAGTAGGATCAACCTTTTTTTAAATAATAGCAAAATTAAGTACGTACTATTGCTCATACAGTATATCCATGTAAATACAAATCAAAATACTTACATCAAATAAATTATTAATTTCTTCGTGAGTAGCTATACACAAATTTCCGATTATGTAGTTTCAATCGGGTAGTCCAATATGTAAAATTTCTTATGCTTAAGACCCACGACGTTTATTGAATGTAACTAAACAATACTCTATTTTTACAATCAGACAGATTATACAGATTGCGAACATAAAACAAAGAAATCATCAAACACAGTTTTATACTTTTTTTTAATGCTTTATTTATCATAAATCAAAGACTAAAGACACTGTATATAGGGAAAGGGAATCGGGAAAGAGGAAATATTTTTTTATTCGAAATTTATACTTCGATCGAAATAAATCATTATAAATGTACAAGGCCAAGTAATGTCGAGTCGTTCGAGAACTTCTTTCCATCAATTCACAGATAATTTAAGAACTACATTGAATCATTTGTTTATTATATTTTAAGTTATTAAAATACATCATTTTACGATCTACTGGTTGGGTTGTTATTTGTATGATATAGTATACGAATTCATCGTTAAATGAAAAAGAATTAAAAAATACATCATTATAGTGAGAAATTTAAGTGATTCTTTACTCAAATTTTCTATCATCATTTGAAATTTTATTATATGCAGAAAAAACTGAAACTTCCTTTCCTTTCGCCGCACGGGAAGAAATTGGCTAACTGTATGCTATTTTTTCTAAAAGAGAAATCTTTGATATATATATATATTATATGAGAAATTCTTGATATACATGTATATGTGATTTTTTCTTTTACAGCAAATCTATTTTTTTCATCCTTTTAAAGGTTGTTGGACAGAATGGTATTTGTGAAACTGAACGAAGCTCACATGATCCCCTAAACATTTGTTCAGAGTATCACGGCTTCACGGGACCATTTGTTAATTTCCTCGGGACGATCGAAGATAAAATTATAAATTATAAATGATAACATAAATAGCATAGTATCACAATGATGTACTGTATATGTGGTGGAGATTCTTCGGAGTAATTCACTAAAATATTAATGGCATACGTTTTTATGATCATACATATTTATCCACACAGTATTTTGTTATTTCGAAAACGCCATTTCAACTGGGAATACATTCCGAAGGAATGCTCTCAAGCATTTAGCTCAGCTAAAGAGGTGAAAAGATAAAAATAACTGTACACACGTTTGGCTACCTATTCGCTGGCCATCTCAAATAGTGATATTAACGCAATGATATGGACCATTGTTCTATGATTGTATATTCATCGATAGAAACAAATATAGTATGTATAACATTGTGTTGAATTTCTTATGCGGTGAAAGGACACCAAAAAATCTTAAGGTTTCGCCATGTCACTAAAGAAATAGACACGTGTTTATGATTGTGTGCGATGTTTCGGGAACCAACCTCTCCATTGGAAAGAAAAATGAAAATCTTAAATGTACACAAATGTTATACTACTGAAGGCTGTGGAGTTTATTAACTATATATTCAATCTTTTCATTGGATAGACTAGAGACGGTGCTTGCCGAAAATGTCCTGGCAAACCGGATTTCCTTGTCGTGCTGATCCTATTACGAATCATGTGTGATGTTACCTCATCTGGGACCGTTTTCTTGATAACATCATATATTGTGTTTTGAAGGGATTGCCTTGTTTGGACTGAACGTTTATGCATAAATGAACTACCCATCTTGTGGTAATGTAATAGGATCATGTCATTTTTATGACAAATCTTACGCGCATTGTGCGCATTAACATAATTATTTAACTACACTTCTCAAAAATGCTGTTTATAAAATTTCTTTAAGGCAACATGCGCATCTTACGCATTCTTAAATGGTTTAACCAATCAACCATTTCATGATTTACATCTCGATCGATTTAACTTGATTAGCCAAGATCTTTTGCGCGTCCGTGAATAATTCAATAATTTTATATCATAGTTGCTTGTTAACTGTTAAAACCAAATTCGTTCCTATAAAAAAAAAAAAAAAAAAAAAAAAAAAAAAAAAAAAAANAAAAAAAAAAAAATTAAGAACAGAAGTAAAGTTGTAAAAAGTTAATATGCTACAATAAGAGTAAAAATGAATTTAATTATTTAAATAATTTATTATATAAAAAATTTTTTCTAACTAACTAGAATGGTGTATTATGGAAAGAATTTATCTAATGATTGTTAAATTGTTAATAATAGAAATATATTTTTTTCAAAAATAATAAAATAATAACGTACTTATAATATAATAAATAACTTTTAGATTAACGAATACATAGTGAAATAATACTAATAATAATAATAATACTTTCAAAAATCACTTACTAATTTGCAAAGTTATTATAGATTTCGTTGGTAAACATATTAATCATAAAATAAACTTAAAATAAACTTAAAAAAAAAGTAAAAAAAAAATGCTTAAAAAATGCTTAAAAAAATCTTTAAAAAAAATCTTAAATGTGCTCAATATAAAAATCATAATTGCCATAATTGCATAAATCTTTGCATAAGTCTTTTATAATTTTGTTCAAGTAAAACGATTTTTACTTCTTAATAAGCTATCAACTATTTGTTCCAATATTTCAATATATTCACGATCAGAATTCATTTCAGAATTGGAAGAAGAATCAATCAATGAACTATTATCAATAAACCTCACGTTATAATGAGAAGTATTCTGAACCAAGTTTTGTGAATTCTCCTTGTAAATTGTAGGAAGAATTCGTACATTTGTATCATAAGTTTCTCCACTTTCTTGAACATAATTCATGTTATTGCTCATATGCTTATCCAATACAATTTGAAGGTTATTTTGTTTGTAATTGGATTTTGCTTCTTTAACTAATGAAACATAAAAATTTTTTACATGTTCAGATTCTGTATTCCAGGAATTTCTCGTAATCTTTGAAAATTCTCCCATTGAAGGTAATTTCCAATTTTTATTACGACATTCTTTAATTAATGCCATTCTATATGCGATAAAAGCATTTGGAAAAGTTTTTGGTCTATTGGTATTGGATTTAACAGCGTTTTTAATTAGATCATTTGTTGTTAAATTTGGAGGAAAAGATGGTCTAATATCAACAAAAATATTATTCAAGTTATTATCACTAACATTATTTTGGTCATGTTTTATGTTATTATTAGAATTAACGATAAATAATAATTGATTTTTTTGTTTCTTAGACATATTGAGTATATTGGATATTTTTTTTTTTTTTTTTTTTTATTTAAAAAAAAAGACCAAATATTCATTTTTCTTCAAGAATTTTCTGATTTAACGGAAATTATTTCTTCCAAAATCACGTTTCAAATTCAATTATAATCTACCTATCATTTACCAAAAATGGATTTTAAATTTCGGAGGGGTTTTGTAACACTTCATTTTTACAAGTTCAGTTTTTCACTATTGTGCCAAGAATCAGGTCAGTTTGCATAAATCATAATCGAACGAATCGGAAGAAAAAAATTAATAATTATTTTACGAACCAATAGTTTATATAATTTTAGTTCGATATCGAATATTGATTTATTAGAAAAAATTTTTATTCGTTATTTCTGTAAAAACTCCGTAAAAATGAGCCTTTCACGGATCCAAATAATTCGATAAATTCCGCGATATAAGGTTATTAATTCCGGAAATATGAGCCTTTTACGGAAAAAAGATGGATTATGGGACATCATGATTGTTTTACTTCCTTACTCACCAATTTATAGTAGAGACGTGTAAATATCCATACAAAACATTATACAAGGTTTAACTTTATTATTAGATCTTTATAAGGGAATAAATAAAAATTATTTAGGTAGAATAATTACATAATTACTACATTTTGAGAGTCATCATATCCTTTTATATTTTCATTAGATACTTCATACGCAATTATATCTTTAAGTTGATCTATTAAATGTGGCCAATCATTTAAACATTCATAAATTGTTTCCTCCCATAAATCATCTGGCATCATACGTCTTGGAGTATGTAATATTTGAACAAAACGTTCATATAATTCAGAATCTTCACAAGCTTGTCTATGATCTCCAACATTTACCCTTAATCCTTCCATAATAAAATTTTCGTTATCTCCATTATATTCCATGATATAATCATCATCGGAATTTTTATTATAATTTTCTTGTAAATGATTTACAAATCTACGACATTCTTGTCCAAAACAATTTCTTACGTTCGTAAAAAAATCTGAGTACGTATTTTCAAAATTTATTAATTTTTCTGGATAATTTCGTATCATTATTATATCAACTTCTTGAAATCTTAAGAAACTTTCATCTCTTGATTCTCTTCTACTACCCGTAGTCGCTGAATTATATGAAAGAGAGTATGTATCATCATCAATCTCTGATGTTTGATCTGTTGCAACTCCATAAGAAATTTCTTCTTCGTTATCAATTTCAATCTGTGGACTACCAATTATTAATTCTTCAAATTTTGAAAGAAGAGGATTCGTAGGATTTATGAATTCACATAAAGTATCAAGCCATTCTCTATCAGGTACAATTTCATTTTTTGCGTAAAGAACTCTTAAAAATCTTTGCCATTCTTCTTCAGAAGAATTAAAAGATTGTTTAATCTTTTCAAAATCTTGTTTATTAAGAGTAATTAATTCTTGTACTTTCTTATCACGATTATTAAAATCTTGTAATATATCTTTACGTTCATCTTCTTCATCTATATCAAAAGCGCTTAATGGAGGTGATATAAGTGAAGAATCTACATAATCAGTTGAAATATATTTTCCTTTAGAGAATTGTTGAGGTAAAGCGAAAAGTTCATCATCAATTTCATCCATATCAACATCATCTTTATTTATATTCCCACCATTTTTATATGAATTGGTTTCTTCAGGTGGTGGTGATAATGATGTTACGAGTTCACCTAACCTAGCTAAAGTTTCTCTTTCAGCATTTGTTCGAACGTTTGCCTTCATTTTTTTTTAAAAAAATTATTATTATTTTTTTTTAATGAAAAATTATTTTATAAAAAATGAAAAATTGATTTTTTTTTTTTTAGAAACGAAAAGAAAAATGGATTTTATACCGAAAAATAAATGAAAACTGATGGGTACAAAAATTTATTTTTTTGAGGGCATAGTGATATCAAATTTATGACATAATGACGTAAATGATCGTTGTGACGTTGTGTCACCAAAAAAATGTGATTTTTACAGTTTTTTTTTCTCACAAGGGATAAAGAAAAAAAAATGAGTTCCCTCTTTAATCATTTACAATGGGTTCCCTCTTTTAAACAATCATTTATAAATTGAAAATTGAGGGACACAAAATTTGATCGAATAAGAAAAGATTATCGATCTTCTAAAAAAAAAAAAGATGACGTAAGCTCATACTAAACGTATTTCTATTGAAGGAATTGTTTTGTGGGGTGATTGTACGTTTAAATTTTAAACCCTTTTTTTAAAAAAAAAAGAAAAAAAGAAAAAATTCAGTGATACAAGATTTAAACTTAAATAATCAATGAATGTTACGAATTTTGCCTAGTATAAAAATGAGGCTGTTTGTTCAACTGCGGGAATAAGATTGTATCACGTGCTACAAAGGACATATAATCCCTTAAATTGGAGATATTCGATTAAAAAAAGTTGTTACTTAAAGCTTCGTACGTGATCGTGTTTCAACTGTTTCTCATGTGTCCGTGCTATCATTATGACGCATATATCAAATTGAAAAAATATCAAATTCAATTTTCTTTCTTTACTTAAATTAGCAAAATTTTTATTCCGGTATTACAATACTATATATTGTTGATTCAAATAAAGTTAAATCATATACCGTAATTACAATATTTATCAAATTTAATTTATAAACTATAATATTAAATTAACAATATTATTAATAAAATTGGTTAAAAGATTTTTTAAAAAAAAGTAAGCGTTCCCGAAGTTCCGAACGGGATTTCCAAGATTTCTAATTGATCGATCACATAAATTACGAACAATATTTATGTATCTACCGTTACTACTTATCGAGAATTGAAGGTTAATGGTAATTAAAAACGCCAATATTACATACTTGATATCGATGAAATAAAATGTTCGTTATCCTGAAAGAAAAGAATCGATTAAAATAAGAGAATTGGTTAAAAATAAAGAATCGGTTAAAATAAATAAAATGCATTTATTTAATTTTTTTTTTTTGTCCATGAATTCCATCTCTAGAATCACATAAGATTGAATGTTCCATCTATCCAACGATAATACGATAATACAACATCACTTTGGTTGGTAGGTCAGTAATATAAATAATAATAGTTATTTCATGGGAACTATGAAATTAATATATTAATTACGCGTCATATTATCTGTTGTGTAATATTTACTCTTTAATTATTTTATGCAAAAAAGAAATATATTTATTAATCATGATTATAATTTTTTTTTTAATATATCCTAAATAAAGAATCTCTTATTATTTTTTTTAGTACTTTGCATAAACTTAAAAAGTAAAAAGAAATAAGGTTGAATTTTATTGAAATTTTATTTGTTAATATTAAAGTTTAACTAATGTCACACTTTTATCATGCTTATCTTACTTTAATCATGCTGCGTACTGCGTAGTGATTTGCGGGATTGGCCAATCAATATTAGTATTTGATCATAAACGCTTGCGAGTAACATGAACAACATGAACCCTGTTAAATTCTAGATCGTATCGAATCGGATTGACCGAAAGAATGCACAACCAATTAGGTTGTAGTACAATTGATTGATCGGATTGGCTATATTAATCCATATGATTAACTTATACACATAGAAAGATCGGTATGACCGACAGCTAACTGCATGCAAATTTGCGATCAATCCGGGTCTGATACAACTCCTTAGATAATTATACTTGACAACATATACAAATACGCGAATAAGCCATGTGAACTCAAAAAGGCAACAATTATCAGGGAGAAAAAAAAAACTTTTTTCATTCTCAATTCGGGAAATGTTAGTAAGGATAGGGCAATAATATTCTAAAAAGGAAAACATTTACAATATTTTAATATTTATTTACAGTAATTTATCGAACATGCTTGATCGGATTGGTTATATTATAAACTTCATACATAAGTTGAAGTTTAAATAATATTAATGATACATTTGGGAATAAAAAAAAAAATCTAATATTACTGGTATTTGGTGTAATTAATAATATTAATAATAATTATCTGAAATCTGAAACCAAAAATATCTAAACGGATTAAAAATTTAAAATATTATGTTAAATGATTAAGAAAAATTTGAATATTCGAATAATTTTAATGTTGATAAATATTCAACAATTTACCACATCCAGGCAAGAGGAATAAATTGGAAAGCTTCAAGTATTTTTGCTGAAAAATTTGGAAAACCTAGATGTTTGAGTAATTAATTAATAATATTCCTTTAAAAACAAATTATGTATTATAAAGTAACCAATGTGTTTTTTTTAAAAAAAAAAAAATTAAACAAAATAATAGTTTGTTGCAACTTGAAACTTATCCAATTGGATACAAAATTTGAACTTGGATTAAACAAAGATCTTTGTTGCCACATTTATACATTTTAAAATGAAATTTAAAATAATTATATTATTTACCTTCTGCCTCAGGAAGGATTAATCTTAACCCGATAAAGCGGGAGGTTGAAAAATATGAATATTCTCGTCCCAAGCACAAGTAGCAATTTGACCTTCAATATATAAATTATAATCTAAACCTAATACAAATTCAGTATGACCATCATAAACTTCTATTAAAGGATTACTTTGTCTTGAAATATCCCATAATCTCATAGTCATATCATAACTTGCACTAGCAATTATATTACTATTATGTGGAGAACATTTTACTCTTCTTACAGCATATTCATGACCTCTTAAACATAATAATTCATGATCAGTTCTTCTTAAATCCCATACTTTAATAGTTTTATCAGTTGAACCAGTTATTATCATATTTTCTTGATATTTATTCCAATCCATTGAAAGAACTTCAAATCCTGGATGTGCAATTATTGTTTGTATTGAATGAGGAAGTTTTATATCCCAAATCTTTATAGTTTGATCTCCTGATGCTGAACCAAATAAATCTGGATTATAAGGTGACCATATTGTATTATATACACAATTTGTATGTTCCACATTAAATGTTGTCAATGATTGCGGTCTATCTGGCGTCCACTTTTTTTTTTTTAAAAAAAAAAAAAAAATTAAATTAAATATATCATAATATTAACATAATTTGAACTATTTTTATATATTTAATATATTTACCAATTTTATTGAATGATCCCATGAACCGCTAACAAAAGTATCCTTTTTAATTAAATTCCATTGTACCGAAAATACTTCTCTATTATGTTCATGCCAATTTTGAATTGGAAATTCCTAGGAGAAAGAAAAAATAAATAAAATTAATAATAAATATATAAAATATATACATCAAAAAGATACAGCACCACTGAAATACTAAACTGTTAATGTGATATCCCATAATTTTATAGATCCATCACCACTTGCTGTTACTATTTGATTGTCATTAATTTCACTCCACGAACAATCATATAATCCGTCTTGTGTATCATAACTAAAAAAAATTTTTAATTTTTTTGTTAGGAACAATTAATGATACAAGATTATGATAGGATCATTCTTTATATATATATATATATATATATATAAATTTTTTTAAAAAATTAAATTATATTTTTATATTATATTACATTCTTACATTCTTTCAACTTCAATACCACTAGGTCCAACTCCAGTATTTAAAACGAATAATTTTCCATTACCAACCAACCCGAAATTTGCTGATGTAGCACATGCTATTTTATTTTCAAAAAATGGACTAAATTGTAACTTTTCAATAAATAAAAAAAAATATTTTAATTAAAATAAATTAAATAAATTATGATTATTAACTGAATGATATATATAAAAAATATCATATAAATATACCGAATATCCATTATATCCTTGAGTACGAAATTTCAACATGTTTTATTAGAAACTTTTCAATATTATATATAAATATATATATTAATTTTTATGTTTTTATCCAGTTAAGGAGAAAGAAAAAAAATATTCTCCATGTGATTAAAGATTTACGCCGTATTGATTATCATGGTTATCATGGAATGTAATAACCCGACGTAGTGTAACATTGGATAAATTGATCAAAAAATATCAAAAAAAGTTAAATCCTTTAATTTTGGCCAAGTTGGCTAAGATTTAATTTAACATCATTTTAGTCTTCCCATTTACATCTGAAAAGAGTAATTCAAGTAACTGATGTACGTAACATTTTATAATGATATGACTTCGTGTTATTAAAATTATTTGTACACGTGAAATTCCATGCATGTTAATCATATTTAAACCTATCAAAGTTAATTCCGATTTCGTTCAATCCCAAAAATCACTCCAGAACATCAAAGAACACGTTAGATATTATTCTTGTTAATTACGTACGCTTATATTCGGAAAAATAATATCATCAACCAACCAGAGGGGAAATAAAATGATTAATTATTTACTAAAAATAATCACAACCCGTAACACATGGAAAGTTTAATGCAAGTCATGTAAGCCAATAATTTAAATCATAAACTTTATTTAAATAATGAAATTTCTTGAAATATAAAAAAAAAAAAAAAATTTTTTTTNAAAAAAAAAAAAAAAAAAAAAAAAAAAAAAAAAAAAAAAAAAAAAAAAAAAAAAAATTAAAAAAAAAAAAAAAATAAAAAATAAAAAATAAAAATGGGAAATACGATAACAAAAATAAAAAAATACAATCGTAATAATCGTAATAATCGTAATAATCGTAATAAAAATCAACACAAATCTTTATTTAATAATAATGATGATGAAACTATAGATAGATTACAAATTTTACATCATTTTTATAGAGACCAATGGAAAGGAAATTTTAATGCACCGATTAAAGAAATGTTAAAAAATGGAGGATTAATGATTCTTGATGTAGGAAGTGGGACAGGTACATGGACTTGTGATATGTCAACAGATTTTCCATTAAATTTATATTTTGGGGTTGAAATCTTACCAATATTTCCACATGAAAAACCAAGAAATATAGTATTTTTGATAAATGATATATTAGAAGGGTTACCATTTCGTTCAAATTCATTTGATTATATACATTTAAGATTCATGTCATTAAGTTTAAAACCTGATGTATGGCAAGATAAATTGATAAATGAACTTGCGAGAGTTTTACGACCCGGAGGGTATCTAGAAATTATGGAAAATGAAATCACTGTTTCAAATCGTGGTCCAAATGTTCAAGAATTTTTTGATAGAGGTAAAATGATTCGCGTTATATACTGTATATAATTATTTTTTTGAAATGATTCCTCATTTTTTTCTTTTTTTTTTTTTATTTCATAAAAAAGTTCATGAAGAATTACGATCAGAAGGTTATAATCCAACCATCATAAAGTTAATGAAAGAATTTTTAATAAATTCTGGAAGTTTTAAAAATGAAGATATAAAACATACAGTAATGTATGTACCTATGGGTGAATGGGGTGGTAAATTAAGTGAAATGGGATTAAAAACTTATTATTCATTATTAAAAATATTTGCTAATATGATTAAGATTCCTAAAAAACAAAATATTGATTCTTACTTGGATTTGATTAATGAAGAGATTAATAATTATAAATCTTGTATGATCAGCCATAGGTTTGTTGCAAGAAAAAAAAAAATAATTTAAATAGTTAATAAATTTTTATAAATGATATTTGATCTAACCTTAGAAATCTTTTTTTGGCGCAAATAAAAAAGGCGAGTATTTTTACCCCGCATAATCCTTTCGAATGAAAATTTTTTCTTAAAAAGAACAATGTAAAAATAGGTATTCATTCATCGAATCATTTTTTATACATATAATAATAGTTACACCTATTCCCTTGTAATTTATAGACCCTTGCATCTTTTTTTAAAATGATTATTTATGTGGCTGTTTATATTTTATAAACAATTATGTAACGTGGAAAAATGAACAGCTTATTTGATTACTCGTGAGATCAAACTGATAGATACCATACATCTCGTATATAAATAAAAGATTATTTTTATTTCCCTTGAAATTTTTTTTTATTACAAAATGTCTACTACAACATCTACAAAATTTTTAAAATCCTTATCAACCGATTTTACCAAATTACTTTTTAATGCTGAGGATTATAATGTTATTATTAAAGTTGGAGACTCGAACTTTAAAGCACATTCTTGTATTTTACGTGCTAGGTCTCCTTATTTTCATTCAGCTTTATCTAGAGATTGGGCTATGAAAGAAGGAAATAATATTATTTTTGAAAAACCAAATATCTCCCCTAAAATTTTTGAAATGATATTAAGGTATACATGATATGTTTTTTTAAAAAAAATTTTTTTAAAATGATTTTTTTTTTCATTTTCATTCATTTTTATTTTTTATTTATTATTTTTTATTTTTATATAATAGTTATTTATATTCTGGTACCATTTCTCTTGAACAAGAACATCCAACAACTATCTTGGATTTATTGACAGCATCAGATGAATTAATTCTTTTAGAATTATTTACTCATGTAAAAGAATATTTTTTCGAAAAACATAATAAATGGATTAGACAACATCCTCTTCAAATTTTATATCATACAATTTTTCGTATTGAAAATTGTTTAGAATTACAAGATTTATGCTTGGAAATAATTTGTGAAAATCCTGAATTAGTATTTGGTACAACAGCTTTTACAGCTATAGAAGAATCTGTTTTAATCTCAATTCTTAAAAGAGATGATCTTCAAATGGATGAAATTGATTTATGGGATTATTTAATTCAATGGGGTATCGCTCATACTTTTAATATTAAATCATCATCAAATTTCAATCCTTCTTTATTATCACAAAATGATCTTTTAGAATTATCAGAAACCTTAAAAAATTGTGTTCCTTATATTAGATTTAATCATATAAATATTAAAGATTTACCTTCAAGATTGAAACCTTTTGAAATTTTATTATTAAATCATAAAAAAATTTCATCAATAACTTATAACAATAATTCATTAATTAATAATATTAATAATGAAATTACTTCTTTTCCACTTGATTCAAAAATTATTAAATTAAAACATGTAGCTCATATAGCTCGTTGGATAGATCATCAAGAAGATAAAAATAATATTCGTGATTATAGAAGACTTCCTATTTATGATTTTAAAATACTTTTACGTGGTAGTAGAGATGATTTTAGTGCAAGTACTTTTCATAAATTATGTGATAATAAAAATGCTACAGTTATTATTATTAAAGTTTTTGGTACAAGAGAAATTATTGGAGGTTATAATCCTATTAGTTGGAAAGGTGGATTTTTTGGTTCTTGGATGAAATCACAAGATAGTTTTATTTTTTCTTTAGGTGACGGAGAAAATAATTTAAGAGAATCTTCAAAATTATGTAGAATAAAACCTGAAAATGTAAATATGGCAGTATTTTGTGCTAATATGAGAGGTCCTTGTTTTGGTTATCGTGATTTATGGATGCCTAATTTTAATAATTTGGCTATAAATTGTGATAGTGATTGTAATTATTATAATGGTAAAATTATTGAACCAAAAAATTTTGATATTGAAGATTATGAAGTTTTTCAAATTATTAAAAGAGAATGATTCTTTTTTTATTTTTTTTTTTTATTTTTTTTTTTTATTATTGTTGTTATCGTAATAATTATCACTTAATCATGTAATCTTGGAATTTTTTAAATGTCAATAAACTTTATATATAAACTTTAAAAAAAAAAACGGAATTTTTTTAAAAAGCCATTATAATAATTATATCTTTTCCCTTTAAAATCTAAATAAATAATAAATAATAAATAAAATAATAAGAAATTCCCAAGATTGTTTAAATCGAATAAGTTACTTTTCTTAATGTGGAATTAAACCGATTAAACGTTCCGGTTGATCATCTCAAAATATTTCACTTGTTTATTATTTATTAGTTTTTTTTTTTCTTGGTCCAATTTTTCCCATAATCAAAATGAGACTGAAATGTAAAACTCTAATTATTATTTTGTCGTAAAACGCATAACCTGTGTTTACGTAAGTTGTACAGTTCAAAAAAGTAATGGGTTTACTTGTTCTGGATGTAGGGGGCTAGATCTGGAACATCCGGTACCCGGTCCAATACATTTATACATGATCTACATATAAATAAATAAATATACTTTATATAAAAAATATTTTTATTAAGATAAGATATTATATATGATAACAAAATCTATATCTTTACATATATAATCCTATATAATCTAATATATATAATCCTATATAATAATAATCTAATGTTCTTGTTTTTTAAGTTATACATACTTTTGATAAAATTAAATGGAATTTAAGACTAGTGTATTAATTATATTATCATTATTAAAGAAAATACATAAGATTTGTTAATGGCTTGCTCACACTTGCGCAAGTAGCAGAACCTTCTGATGATGATTCGCCTTGCCAAACGGTATAATGTCTTGCACGATTACAAATTAGATGTGCATAATAAGCAGGTGTTACAATAGATATAGACGACGTGCATCTGAATATTAAAAATAATTAAAACATGGAGCGGAAATAATTAAAACATATGGAGTGGAAATTTAAAATTATATAACAAACCTTGCATTTAAATAACATAATTTATTAGTTAATGATTGAAAATCATCGGCTTTAAATTTATTATCGTCGACCAATACGCGATAATGTGTAGGACGTCCAGTACCCAGAAGACTGGCATGGGATTGAAGGACTATGTGAAAATACATAATTTACATAATTAATAACTTAATATCATATCAATGAATCGTGCTTGACAATATAATAAATAATAACTTACAAAAGTCAAACTCTTGTTTCACCACAATTCCTGTATCAACAACCGTTCCTGGTCTGCAATTACCACGATCACTGTCACGTTGATTAGTTGGCTCAAATCTAATATTTATAAAAAAAAATGTTTTAAGAAATTATTCAAAAATAAAACATATAATAGCATAAAACATATAATAGCGTAAAAGATTACCTAGTATGATGTCTTTTTTGTACAATAATGAAAGTCAATTTTGGTGGATTGTCACCATATCCTCCTTTAAAGGCCTTTCTCAACATATCTACTTCTACCTCCATAACCTTGCGAAATTGTCCCTCGCTGACCCCATCACGATAAAATAAAATTCTTTGAGGGAGACGACCATTTTTAGCTCGAAAAGCTTTTAGTAAATCAATAACCATAAGATCTAGCTCCTCAATGGTCTCATTACGTGGCTCTTTATTCATACTATATCGACCGCTATAAATAGTTGCAGCCGCATCCATGGAAGCACAAACTGATGCGATACTAGGCATATGTTGTTCATGGACTCCCGAGTGATAAACATCTGCACCAAAAATCATTGTCTAAATATTATAATGAAGATAATAAAAATTAATGCAAATACGATAATATGAGAAATAAGCGTAATTATAAATTCATACTTACAGGTACAGAAGATACAAAATCTATTTGTCCAGTCGATAACGAATAATTCCTACCTCCAAGCTTTGCATTTATTTTTAAACCAACATTTACACAAAATTGTTCGAATCCTTTTGGTTTTCTAATATTCTTGTTCAAAACGCATTGAGTACGAATAGACAATTCAGTTTCTGCAATGCGCTTAATATCACTATATAAACGAGATCGTTCTCTCATTACAACTAGGACCAATTGAACCGGCTCATCTTTATTCATTCTAGCTCTTTCAGCAGCCTGTGTTAATCCCTATAAAATTGATAAATAAAAATTATTATATATGTGTAAAATATTAATATTTACTATCAATATGAAATTTAAATTTAAAGAAAATATTAATTATTTACCCTCTTAATATCCCCATGTTGATTAAAAATGACCACTGCTGGCTGATTAACAATATTCTTTAAAAGATAAAAAAGGGAGGATTAAAAATCATTTTCTATAATAATTTGCTAAAACAAAAGTTTTGTAAAATCTTTACCATTCCTTTCTTGTTTAAAGTTTCAGTTAATTGCCTCCCAAATTGTGCAATTGCATTCTGATGATCACCTGACAACGCTAGTATAGACCAATTAGTTAACTTCTTGCCCTAATTTATATTCGAAGGAAAATAAAGATCATCAAAAAAAAAATTTCTCGATTTGTTATTAATATTATTATTATTTAACTTACATCCTGAATTACTTGACTAACGAAATTCCAACGTCCTGTATCTACTTTTTGATTTTGCTGACCTCTATCTTTATTGAATGATATTGATACAGGAGGAAGAACACGGCCTATGAAAGATTTAACTCATTAAATAACTTTAAACACTTTTTACCATAAAGCACAACATAAACGATAATAAATCCTTACCTTCAACTACTATCATTTCAGTATCAACGCCCATATTAATTGATCTCAAGTTTTCATCTTGACCATAACGAAAAACGTTGTGAATAGCATCTCTGATTGATTGAAAACGTTCACGAGGTTTTACACATGTGAATTTTATCATATCAGCGCGACCATTATCAGTAATATCACCTTTGAAAGGTTGGTCTAAAAAGATTGTATTTGTAAGTAACATGATGCATAGATTAAAAAAAAAAACCACATCGAATTAATCTTGTATTACAAACCTGGTAATATCTCGCAGACCTCTAAAGGAAAACAATTTTTACTAACTTTAATACAAGGAAGACTTCCAAATGCAAGTCTCATTCCATATTTCTTTGCGAAGAACTGGGTAACTGAAGTTTCCCTTTCTTCTTCATCTCTAAATTTGATATTATCTGCAGAATCTTTTGATAAATCATCAATTGAGTATATGGACCTTTTATTATCACCACGATGTAGGACACGAATTCTAAGGGTTTTTAATGCCTATTTAAACAATGAATAATGTTTGATTATATGTAAATAGAATTTTTTTTGGTACAAAAAAATTTTAATATACCTTAGCTAACATCCTTCTGTCTCTATCATCGATTCCACGTCTTAGATCATCTTTTCTACGATTTAGGATACCAGCAGCAATATCTACAACGTTTCCAGGTGGACAAAAAATACCAGAACATACATCAACATTAACAGTAAGATCGTCTATAAATATTATTTATAACGATTTATAACGATGATTTAGTAAAACAATAATAGATAAAAAAAAAAATTTCAAAATTATAAAATAAAAATAAAAACTCACTCCATCCTACTCTCAAAGATTGGCAATGTCCTTGTCTTAACTCAGCACCACCACTCAAAATAACTCTATTATTATTAGAAGCATAAATTCCTCTTCCAAGAGATACATAGTTTGTACGCACTTTGTAATTTAGGTAAGCGTTGAGCGCGTTCATACAAGTTTGAACATTTTTGTTCCATGCTTGCTTTGACTCCATAAAATCCTTTATATGTTGCAAACTAAATTCTTCCTTAAATTTAATCTTTATTTTAAAAGTTGTGATTTTACCAGCTGGTTCACTTGGTGGGAGAGGTAACTAAGATAAAATAATAAAAATCAATAAATGGAATGTATGAATGAATGTATGAATAAAAAATACGAACCTCGAATTCATCTTGTTCCAAGAATAATTTGGTAGAACTATATATCATATCATTCCAGTTAAAGATTGGTAGACTTTTACCAAACTTTTTTTGTTTTTTAATTTCTTCAAAGACTTTCCAACGTACTTTTTTGCCAATTGTCCTTCCAGAACTTGAAGTTACATTGTAATTGTATAAGTATAATTTTAAATTTGGGAACTATATATGTGTTTTTTTTATAATAATAATTAATAAGTTTAAAAAAAACGTGAAAGTTTATTAAAAAAAAATTTATAAAATAGATTTTTACCTTAGAAATTTTAAGGTGATTTGCTCGAAGGTTAACTTTTTGACCTAAATTTCCAATTCCTGGTCTAGGTGCTACACCTTCTTTCACAGTAATTTTTTCTAATTGTTTTTCGAGATGTGTTGTCATATTTATATACTGCAGGAATTTGTGACACGGGAAAATTTGACACAGATCCTAGTAGATTTAAAAAATATCAAATATAGCATCGTTAAAAAAAATTTTTCGCTAAAAAAAACCTGTTTTTTTTATAAAAAATTATTGGTAAAATAATAAATTATTTTTCCGGATTTCAACCGGAATTCAATTTTGTATATCAATTGTAACCTTCTAATAATGTTTATCAACATCGTTCAAATTCTTGGTTTTTTTTTTTCTCTAATTTATTGGTTGTACTTACTTGTGTTTAATTAAAGTTTTACTTTAAACAGTTTAAACTTGTGGTTTGATTTTTTTTTTTTTTAAAAAAAGGATAAATTATTTAAGTAATACGGTACAAAAATTCCTTTTTCTTTTTTTGCTTTTGTTCAAAAGAAAAGTAAATTGATAGGAAAAAAGAGATAAAAAAAATCAAGAGAAATTATCCGGTTCTATATATATAATTTTGTTGCACGAAAGATTTTCCTTTTTGAGGAGACAATAACCATAGGGCTTCTGACTAGAAAGATAATGCAGTTGTAAGTGTTACTGCGAATTCAATCAACCAAGGAATTCCAAATGAAAAAGTGATAAATGTGGAACAATCAAAAAAAAAAAAAAAAAAAAAAAATTTTTTTTTTAGGGTTACTTTCTAATTAACGGGGATTATTTCCGCCATTTACCGTCTTTATTTATGTCATCGTACGTTCCACACTAACCTTTAATATAACTTTACCTTTTTAAATTGTTATTGTTTCTTTAAAAGTCTTTTTCGAACTTAGAAAAAAGGTTCCATTGAGTTCATGATGTCCATTGTGACGAAAATAGATTTCTTTAATTCATAAATTAATAAAGAATTTCATTACCTTATTAACAGGGTAATTGCGACACTTTAGTAAATTTTAATTGCAAATTAATTCTAGAGCACAATTGAAAAGAACAATATATAAATAAATTATCATCCCCCAAAAAAAATATTACAATTTTATTTTAATAATTTATAATTCTTTTCCAACTCCGCAATTCTATACAATTTTAGCTTTGATTTCCCCTTGATCTACTATAATTGAGTACTTATCATGAAAATTCACATTATATTTATGTACGTCATACCAACGATAATCGATTGAGTATAATATATAATATGGATCATCAGAGATCATTTAAAATTTACCCAAATTTACCAACTTTTTGACTTTTGTAACGTTTTACGATGATTACAGTACAGGACAAAGGCAAAAAGGCGCAGAACAAGAAAATTACGCGTTAAAAAGTGATTTAAAAATGATGATGCAATAGATTTATTATGTATGATATTGTGAAAATGTTAATGATGATGAACTGACAAAAAAGATGAATAAAATATGAAAATATAATAATAACAATAAATAATAACAATAAAAAAAAAAATAATAAAAATAATAGAAAAATAATAATAATAAAATAAAAAAAAAATGATAATAATAAAAATAATAATAATAATAATAAAAAAAAAATAGTAATAAAAATAAAAATATACAAAATGTCTATAAATAAATAAATATATATATATATAAATAAAGTACAGTATATAAAGTCTTTATAATCCTTATTAAGTTACTCATCCAACTCATCAATATAAGTGGGAATTAGACAAGAATTATTGTCATGTAAGTATTTTGTACATTCAAATTCTTTAAATAATTTAAAATGTTCACCCTTTGATTCATTATATTCATCTAAATCAATTCTAATATAAAATTCTTCAAATATTACTTGATTCATTTCAATATCAATATATTCATCATAATAATAACCATCATCTCCATCACCTCCATCACCTCCATCACTTCCACTTCTATCATCCCCATCATCCCCATCATCGTCTGTGGAATAATATGAAGTATCACTCATAATAATACATCTTTCATCCAATTGTTCAAGAAATAATGCAAGACTTTGACTTGTAAATACTACCATTAATAAAAATGTAAAACTATATAATGAACTTGGTATTGATTTTGAAATTTCTATTGCTAATTCATTTGTCATTGTTATAGGAATTAAATTTTCATAAAATGTTTTTTCATTTTTTAATTCAATAATTTCCAATTTCTTTAATGATTTAAATAATAAAGGAATTTGTGGCAAAACATTTGCTGAAATATTTGCTCTAAGATGAATTAAATTTGAACAATAATTTGTTATATCTTCAATAAGTGAATAAGGTTGTATTATATCATCAAGTAAAAGTTTTGTTAAAATTACATTACTATGAATTATAATTGATTTTATATCATAATATTGTACTGGATTATTATATATAATATTTAATTTCATATTATTCCTTTCTCGTTTAAAATTATTGATCCTCAAATATTTTAAAGATGAAAGATGAGATCCTTGTAAATTATTACAATCTATTAATGTTAAAGTTGTAAGATTATAATATTCCATAAAATAATTGAAAGAGTCTTCCTCGTCAAGAAGATCACAAGCATGTAATGTAATATCTTGTAATGAGATTGGAAAATTAGGACCAATAATTGACATGAAACCTTTTTGAGCAAATGAACAAATGAATTTTTTTAAATATCTTTGAGATCTTAAAAGTTGACGAATACCTTCATATAAAGAAGAATCAATAAAATTATCATTATCTCGTAAAATTCCTAATTGCATTACTTCAATATTATGACATATATTTGATAAAGTGGTGAATATTTTTAGTTGATCTGGATGGTCACTACATTTAAATTCTCTTAATTTAATTAAACATGATTTAGTTGATGTTAATGATGAGAATTTGAAAGGATTTAAAAAATTTAAATCTGTTGCTAAATCTAATCTATATAATGTTGGACATTGTAATAAAAACATTTTACATAATTCTTCCGCCATTATTAATTGATTTTCAATATTTTGTCGATTTCTTTCTCTTTTAATTTCTTTAGGCCATAATTCTTGTACACTTTTAAATACGCTATGATATTCTAATTCTCTTAAATATGAAGTATAATTAAAAAATGGTCTTTCTTTACTACAAATTTCCAATAATTCACTTATATTAATATTATTTAATCTTTTTGTTAGGTTAAATCTTGATTCTGGTGAAAGAAAACTTAAATATGTTATAATCAATTTAGAGGATGGTAAATACCAATTAAATGTATTTCTCCATAATATTGGAATAACATGTCTACAAAAATCTCGATTAACCAATAAACAATTAAATAATGTCTTTCTTATATCTAAAATTGTATTAAGAGGGTTATCATTTATTACTTCCTCATTATAAATTTCACAAAATATCTTTTCTAAACATAATGACGGTAAAGGTTTTCTCATATTTGTGATCTCCGCAGTCTCCGCAGTATTGGAATTTTTTTAAATTTTTTTATAAAAAAAATAAAAAATAAAAAATAAAAAATTTTTTTTTTAAAAAAAAAGGGAAAAAAAAATAGGATTTTCTTTTGAGTACAATTTACTTCAGGAGTGACATTAAATATTAAATATTGTAATGTTACATAAAACCTTAGGCGTTCATTGTTATTTTATAATAATAAACACAAAGATCTCCTTCACCTCATAATAAGGTTTTATTTTACCGTAAAGAAAGAAAGATATTACCCATGATAGCATATAAATAAACAAACGCTTTTTCACCCTTTCTTGTAATCTTTATTTATTATTTAAATTGTTTACTCCATTTGTACTTCCCTCGCAACTTACCGTATAAGTCCCATGATATTTAGATTTAAATAAAACGTGGAATTTTGTAAAAAAAAAAAAAAGAAACGCAGTATGAAAACTATAAATATCAAACTAGAATTATTTATCAGTTATATAATTATATCTGCATAAATTACGTTGCATAACCGAATGACTCACGTTACATACGATACATATTTGTTTTATTTTTAGTTACACGTCTCCGTAACTCCATTTGGTTAATCAGTATCACATTGAATTCCTGATTTAGAAAATTAATTATCCAATCCGATCGGCAAAAAAATTGATTGATTTTATTTTAAAGATTGGTCAAAGTAATCAAAGTACCACCCCTAATGAATGACCGTTGATCGGCGCTAATAAAATCTGATCTAATTGTTGTTTTTTTTTTCCTTGAGAATATTAGATCAGCGTTTCATATTTAGGATATTTAGCGATTAATTCATGTGAAAATTTAAAGAAAGAAAGTGTTGTATTACTTGTATAAATTCACATGATAATTTGCTTAAAAATTTCAAAACGTTACGCAAAATATGAACTGATCAAACAAGGGTTAACCCATGCCATGTGGGTAAGTACTTGCATTGTTATTTGTATATAAACTATTATGGTCATATTAGAAATCAATAAATAAAATATGGTATTATTATTATGGTTAAATTAAATATAGGTAAATTAAATCATAAAACTTATAATACCATAACAGGTTAAAATTGTACAACAGTAACAATTTTTTTGTTACGATGGCCAAAATAAGAAAATTTTGAAAAAAAAACATCTTTTTTGTAATATTTTTTCAATATAGATTTTCATCAATTCTCATTTCTCATCAGATGAATAATCCTTCACGGATATTAGATAATATAAATCTTACGTGATACAAAAGTTATATGGATTTTCATGAATTCTCATCAGATGACGGATATTAGATAATATAATATTTATACTTAAATATTATTGGATGAAAAAAAATATTACTTATAAGGTGGAAATACTTTATTGGGGACAAAAATATTTTTACTTGAACACTAAATTAACCTAATAATCAAAATTAGCAATATTTCCATAACCAACTTCCCTTATAAAGTAATTTAATCTCCATATCAAATTTGTTTATCTAACCTTTTTGAGAATCAAGATAAGATTTTCATATTAAAAATTTATTAACGTTTCGGCGATTCTCCTTTTATGTATATCTCTGGGAAGGTCTAAACAACTTATAAATACACAAAATATTTCTTTCTTTTTTAAATAGATTCTTTATAAAAAAATTAATCTATTTTTTTTAAAAAAAAAAGAATCTAAAAAAATATGTATTTAATTACAGAAATATGTTTAAGTTTAATAGGTCTATTAATTTATTTGATAATAAAATATCCTGATAGAAGTATTGCTACTAGATCAAGACCTGATATTAATGGTAATAAAGGTTATCCACTTATTGGTAATCTTATATCAGTTCTCAATAATGATGTAGTTCTTCTTATGCATTGTACTTTGATGGAATATGGTCCTGTTTCGTAAGTATGCCATAATTCGATATGATTTAATATGTTTCTTGTACCAAACAGGAAAGTAATATGAAAAAATTCCTATCAGTTTATGTATTGTTTTATTTATTTGATGGGGGAATAATGATATCGGTCTATCCCTCATCCAGTCATTTGGATTACTGCGATCTGTGATGACCAATAAGAATTAATGCTATTGATGCTATTGATACTATTAATGCATATCCCTATGCATATCCCCTAGTCGACTAATCAATAATTACATTACTAGAATTTTAATATGTACGATATATTTGCATCATTTCATATTTAGGACATATACAATTCCCGTATTAGGAAGACAAATTACGGTTAACAGCCCCGAATTATTAGAACACGTAATGAAAAGTATTCTATCATATATTCATTTTATATTAACAATCATTTCTTTAAATTGAACGAATAATAAAATGATTGAACGAACAATGCTAAAAAAATTTTTTTTTTTTTCTGTTTACGTAATTTAAGCAAAATTTGATAATTATGTTAAAGGAACAATATTTTCCAAAATAGTTTATGATGTATTAGGTGATGGTATTTTCAATGCTGACGGGTAAGTTTTATGTTAATAATATTTATAATATTTAAAAATTAAAATATTTTTTGTTAATAGAGAAATGTGGAAATTTCAAAGAAGATTAGCAAGTCATTTATTTCGTGGACAAAATTTTCGTGATGTTATCTGTGTAGTATTTGAAGAAGAAACAAAAATTTTACTTAATATTTTACAAGAAGCTGCAAAAAAGGGTGACGTAATCGATCTACAGGATATATTTTTTAGATTCACTCTAGATTCGTTCGGAAAGTAAATATTATAATAATTTAATTTAAGTATATTTTTTAAATATATTAACCATTTCATTTCTTAGGATAACATTTGAAACTGATTTTGGTTCTTTAACAAATCCTAATGAACCAGTACAATTTGCTGAAGCATTTGATTTCGTTCAAACTATGATTGATAAAAGATTTATAAATCCCATATGGCCAATTACTGAATTACTTACAAAAGATGGTGCTAAAATGCGTTCTTCTTGTAAATATTTATCAAATTATGCTTATAATATCGTTAAGAAAAGAAGAGATAATGAAGGATCATTAAAAAATAATGATATTTTAAGTATGTTTATGAATGCTGAAATTAATGATGAAAATGGAAATATGAGAAAATTAAGTGATAAAGAATTAAGAGATATTGTCTTGAATTTACTTATTGCTGGTAAGTATTAACATAAAAAAGAATTTATTCAATTTCGATTTAAAGTAACAAATATTTTTATTTTAAAAAAATTAGGACGTGACACTACTGCGCAGGTAATTTAAAAATTTAATACAATCATATATATATATATATATATATATATATAAAGTATTACATTTTTAATTATGTATTCTATAGGCAATTTCATGGATGATGTATAATATTATGGTACATCCAGATGTTGAAGAGAAATTAATAAAGGAAGCAAATTCATCCGAAAATCTAATCCCAAGTTACGATGAGATTAAAAAATTCAAATATGCACATGCTGTATTCCATGAAACGTTGAGATTACATCCTTCAGTTCCAAAGAATAATAAGGTAATTAAAATTAATTTCATTTCAAAAATTATAGCTTGAATTAATTTTTGTATTTTAATAGTTGTGTATAAAGGATGATGTATTACCTAATGGAATACCTATTCATGCTGGAGAATGGGTTTCTTGGTCTAGTTGGGCTATGGGAAGAGATGAAAGAATTTGGGGAAAAGATGCGCAAAAATTTATTCCAGACCGATTTTTGGAAAATGAGAGGCCAAATCAGTATAAATTTAACAGCTTTAATTGTGGCCCAAGAATATGGTAAATTATAATATTGATGATCAAGACGTTATAATAATTATGCTTATATTCTTTTTTTTCATTTAAGTCTCGGACAAAATTTTGCTACGGTTGAAGCGTTAACAGTTGCAACGACGATATTAAAACAATTCAAATTTGAATTATTGCCTGGTCAAAAATCACCACCTGATTTTGCACAATCAATAACGTTACGAATGAAAAATCCTTTATTGGTTAAAGTTCATTTTCGACAATAACCAAATTTGTGTTTTTACAGTTAAATTTGGGTTGATTTTGTTATTAACTGTAGAGGGATGATTTTATTGTATTATGCTTTTCAAAGTCGCTTTTATTGTCACTCTAATTTTGATTGTTTGTCTAAATGGATATACTGTATAATTAAGTTCCTTTGATAAGTAAAAGTAGAGTTTATATAAATTATTAATTAATTAATTGCATAGTCTAAAATTTTATATGATATAATTATTACTATAAAATAGCGAGAACATAACTTACTTATTAATTATTTAAACAGTAAATTTTTTTCTAAAAATTAAGAAGTAAAAATGATAAAATTGTAACAAATTTATTTAAAAATACTTTTTGGAGGCGTGACTTTTTGGGCTTATAATAACACAAAATATTAAAATTCAGAATTATTGGATTAACGTCTGTTCGAACTCATTATCCCAAAATCTTTTTTTTTTATTCCGATGAATATGTCACGTGTGTGCTATTTTTTTTGGATTTTTGCGTTAACAAAGACTCTTCTGAAATGTGTGCCATCATTTGCAAAAAAAAAAATTTATAAAATATGGTAAATATTACCAGAGCATTACAATTTGAAATTTTTTATTTGATTTTAACCAGTAAAAGGTTTATAAGTCTGGTGATTTTCATTCTGGGTAAAATTCAATTTCTATATTAAGCACTACCATCACTGTAATAATTTAATTAGCCTTTTTAAAGTCATTGGTTTTAAGAAAGATTAACATAACAATGATCTGACTTAAATATAGTATTTAGTTAGTCGATTTATACTTTTTTAAAGGAAAGTGAGTATCTTCAAGAAGGATTGTTTATTTTTTTTTTTTCGGAAATTTAGATATAAAATTACAAAAAATAATTATAGGTTATTAATGAATTATAATAATGGTAATTATAGAATAAATTTTTGAATTTTTTGAACTATATCATATTATAATATATATATTTTTTAAAATAAAATTATAGCAGCCATAACAACACCGGCGGCGGCGGCATTAACCATTCCAGCTCGTGCAGGAACGGGTTCAGCAGCGTTTGATGAGCTTGATGAACTGCTTTGGCTGGCGCTTGGTGAGGCACCGCTTGCTGATGCGCCTCCTGAAGGTGAAACCGTTTTCGAGACTGTACCGCTTACAGAAAAAACAGAACTAACGACTGTTGTTGGACTAGGAACCACCGAAAGGGATGTAGAACTTACTGTAACAGGTGCTTTTAAGATTGAAGATAAATAATTAGTACATATATATTAAAGGAAGGGATTGTAAGGAACTTAACTTACGTGATACGAAGCTGGTACTTTCAACTGGAATAGTAGTAGTAGAGGTAGTTGGAACAGGAACAGTTGTTGGAGCCACATCTACACTGGTAACTGTTGAAGGTGCACCTGCATCTGGCGCTCCTTGAGATTCAATATATCTTGGTAAACAAGAAATGATGAATAAGACGATGAAGAATAAAGTAATTGATTTCATTTTTGCGATTGATTATAAATTAATTGAAAAAGGTATCTGATATTATTTTAGATTATTTAGATTATGGTAATTATTGAAATAAAAACTTGATTTTGAAAAAAAAAAGAAAAAAAAATTTAACCTCTTTTTATAAGAAACTGTGAATTAAATTTATAAGATGGAAAAATAAATTATATCATTATGATGAACTTGGCGTTTCTTTTCAAATCTTTATAACTTCCATTTTTTTTTCTTGTGAATAATAATCACAATACGATAGAGTACAAAGATTATTTTTGCAATTGCTTGGAAAAAATTTAATTATAAATCATTATTTATTTAATTATCTTGTGTTCGGTCTGTTATAGATTAGTCTTTGGGGCAATGTATAAAGTAATATTAATAGATGATGTAATAATGACCAATTAATTAGATCAACTTATACGTAGACAAAAATTCGTGTTACAATAAGTATTTCCTCGATCATCTCATATGGTATCATAATGCCATAATTCTGGTAAAAATTTTATCTGAATATCAGATTACTGCAAAAAATTGTACTTTCTTTAAATCACTATGACGAGCAAGTGATTGTAACGCAAATATGTTCGGAAAAATCTTTTTGGGTGTACAAATCAAAAAAAAAAAAAAAATAAAGGGATTTTTCCCAATTGTTTTCTTTGCCAAGTCTTTTCGCCCATTTATATAATTGTTTGTCGGTTTCACAAGACTACTCTCTTATAGAAAATAATAATAATTTTTTTTTTTTTCGTGGTTCTCAAATTTAAGCCGTTTACATCAAGTAAAATTATGTAATTTTTTTATTTTATTCTAAAAAAAACTTAGACATGTGATTAATTTTCTAAAAAAATCTTGAGACAAAAATACATAACCGATCGGTAAATCAAAAATTAGCGGAAACCGCTAATTACAAATTTTTCGAGCGAATTTTACTGGATCATACATATTATATTGCTTTTTTCCGTTTTATAATTTAATATATAATGTACTTTACTCCTATTATCCGACCCTTACAGTTCCTTTTTTTGGGGGACGTCCGTAACCACCAAAACACGTGACCGATTTTGCCGATCATGTCTAAGATAGTTAGATCAATTTATAGAAATTTTTAATACAAATATTATTCAGCATAATCTCTATGGGAATAAATACTTTCTTTCTCTACAAGTTTGATTAGATCTTTTTTTATAAACAAAGATCATAATTACTATTGGCTAATTTATCATGTTATTTATAGATTTTAGGATTTTTAACTATACTAGTTTGATTAGGGTTAAAAGAAAGGATTATATCACATTTTTGCTATTTTATATTTAAATTTGTAAAAGTTAACATTAGCAAAAAAATCATCATTTAAAACCCATATTTTCTCTCTAAGTAAATTTGCAAAAAAAGCAAAATGCATATAAAATTCAATTTTAAAATCCATATAGGGGTTTTGCTAAGTTTATTTGAAAAATAAAAATGAAATTTTCTCAAAAATTAATCACATTCTGGTAATTTCTTAGTAATTATGCTGGAAAAATCTTATAGCAAAGCAGAATTATGTAATTATTGTAAAATATTTATTACTAGTATTATGCTCATTCATTTTTCCATTTTTATTAAATATTTTGAGAGACTTGAATTTTTTCAGTTAGTTAATATTGAAAACCTATATACAGTCAATTTTCTATAAATGCATTCCCCTTGGAATCAGGTATAAGAGTGCATTTAAAGAGGATATGCATTTATAGAATGCATATAAATCTATATGATATTAATCTAAAATTAAGGTAATACAAAAATTTTATAAGTAAACTATATAAAATTTTTTTATAAAGGATGCATTTACAGAATATATATATATATAAACTGTGCATTTAGCATTAAGGTCCAAGTTGGGACTAGATAAAAGGTGCATTATAGAGGGTACACATTTATAGAGGATGTGTATTTATAGAGGGTGCATTTATAAAGAATTGATTGTATCATTTTTTTTATTTGTCATACGCATAGTTTTTTAATACAATAATACTGGCTAAAACTGCTCCACTTTAAACATTTTTCTTTTTGAAATGTGATTAGTCATTCATTTTATTTTACATATTTCTGCTTCTTATTAAATATTTTACAATCTAAAAAAAATGTAAATAATTTTATTAGCATTTACTGTTAATATATATAATGAAATAAAATGATTAATTTTATTTTCATTATATCATTTTATTTTTATTTATTATTTTGTATTATTAATATTAATTTATTTTTTACTTTATAAAAAGGAATTATTAATTGCTATAGTTATCAAAAAGATAACAACTTATAAATTCTAAATTAATAGAAATAAGTAATTAGTTAAAAAAACTATTTATTTATTTTATTTATATAATTAAAAAAATAAATACAACTTAATTATATATTTTAATTAATAAATTAATTTAGTTTCAGATTTAAAATAGTATATTTTAATTCAAATGTTAGTATATTTTTAAATGTAATAAAAGGTAAAATCTTTTATATTATAAAAAATTCTTCAATTCAAAAAAAGTATAATTATATAAAATTTTAGACTTAATTACTATTATAATTTCATTATAATAGATTAATAAAGTTACAATAGTATTACAATATAAAATGATAAGTTTCTTTATTATTGTTTAATATTTATTTTTTTTCTTTATTATTTTCCATTTGCTTTTTAGATAGTACTTAAAAAATGCAAATATTAGTATATTTTCAACTTGAGCAATTCTATTCTAAAAAGTAACCTTAATTTGAATTTAATTAGGTTTATTTTAAGATGCAATCTCAATTTAAATCTGAATAATTCTATTCTAAAAGTAATCTTAATTTGAATTTAATATTTTAAGATGCAATTTCAATTTAATTAAAAGTAATTTTAATCCAAATTTAAATAGTTTTATCCTAAAGAGTAATTTCAAAGAAACATCAATTCAAATCTGAGTAATTTGTATTATAATAATTATAATAGTATTTAAAAAAAAAATTTGAAATAGATATTAATATTATATAATATAAAGTAATTACCATAAAATCCTGATTATAAGCACCCCCCAAATATAAGCACCCCCAGATTTTTATATTACCTGAAAGTAAGCATCTTTGACCAACACTATGATAATTTTGGCCAATAATACAATATACCAAATATATAAATTTACCCAAATATAAGCACCCTATAACAAAAAAAGGTTGCTTATATTCGGGACTTTATGGTAATTGCAATTAAGTTTTTAATTTAGAACTTAGAAGTATTTTATTATGTTTTTTTCTTAGATTTTTTCACTAAAGTTTTTTTTTTTTTTTTTTTTTTTTTTTTTTTTCTATTACTTTGCAATTATTAATATTAATTTATTTCTTTTATTACAAAAAAAGGAAAAAAAGGAATTATTAAATTGCTATAATTATTAAAAAAATAATTTTGATATTTTTTTTAATAAAATAGAGATAGAATTGGTTAAAAGAGATATTTGCAGTACTTGTTTCACTCATACATTCATTAAAAGAGTAGAAATAAAGTATTTGTTTATATTTTGTAAATTAATATTTTATACTTTGATTAATAAATTAACCTAGTTTTTAGATTTAAAATAGTGTATTTTAATATATATTCAGATGATAATATATTCTTAAATGCAATGAAAGGCAAATTGTTTTATATTGTTGAAAATGTATTGATTCAGCTTTCTGAATTTCTAAAGTATATAAATTCAGTAATACAAAAGAGCTAGTATAATATGAATTGGTAAGTTTCTTTATTATTATTTTTTCTTTACTAAAGCTGTGCTCACGAAGTGATTTTTCCGCAAGATTGCTCAATGACCTCACCTTTTTTATTTCCCCTCTTATTATCCAATTCAAGAAGAGTCCACCCCTCCAACAGCAAGATAATATGACCAAGGATTTTTTCCACTATATCCTTCATACTCACATCTTCGTACGCGACAAATAGAGACTTCAAACGATAGTTTCCCTTCATTGTCGTGCGTACATTCATGATCCTTCAAAATTTTCTTCGTTCGAAAAGATTTTTTTTTTGTTTATGTTTTTCTTCTATGATAATAACAGATTTGTATATGTATAGTTAAAATGAATAAAGGCGTGGCTAAGCTCCAAGACGCTCAGCGAAACCCTGTCTAAAATTATCTTTTTTGACCTCGATTAAACCAATAATTCGTCCAGTCCTCGATCAGCTTCTCTGGTACTATATTTACTTGATCTTTGAATGGTAAATTGCAGAGGCGAAGAATAGATATTTTTTGTGACCTCATAGGATACATCGATGCAATGCGAGTTTGCAACTCATCAAGAAGTTTGCGCAACGCTCTTTATATTTCTCATTCTTAGTAACCACACGAAAAAATGGCATACACATCAACTTCATCATCGCCAAGCCCATAAGCTCGCACACTTTCGGAAATGTCCATTCATAAACACGGCTAGTTTGAAGTTGCCTTTGATGCTAGAGACTGCAATATCTTTCGAAACGAGACATCATTCCTAGATGAATATCTCATAAAGTTGAGCACCATTTCATCATTTTCGAGCGCGGGTGGTTGGTACATATCACATATTAAATTTTTGAGTCCATTGAGGGTTGCATGTTCGATATTCACCGCCCACTTGACAGCGCAGAAGTCTGCAACACAATTGCTTGGTTAGTAAAAAAATTTCGGACAGTAGTTTGATAGTGATATCAGTCTAGGATTTGCTTTTTACAAATAATACAGCTTTCATAACTTAAAAAATTCGCTGGAAAAAAAATCATACCATAGACAAACTTGTTAAACAACGTCCGTAATGAGGCAACCTCGTCAAGTGATTCAAGTAATTACTGTTCACGACTCGAAATGACGGTTGAGTTGGGTGGGTTGACTAAGACATGAATACTCTTATTAGACGGTTTCTCAGGCCAATAATCTTCCTATTACTCTGATTTTTTTGCATAGCGTCTTTGAGGTCACCAACAAGTCTAACATTTCGGCTTATATATTATTATTGGCTAAATTTCCATATATATGAGGACAAGTATCATATGAAAAAATTATAAAATACTTATGTGAGATTACTCGGTCAGCAGGACGACTTCTGTTTTGGGGTTGGGTTGTAACACATGTTTAGCTTTTTATTGGAGTATTTATTAATTAAGTGAATTACATGTGATCAGAATCAAAATTGAGCTTGTCAATCTTGGAAGTTATTTTCCTTAAACAACTAAGTAGAAGTTTTTCCGCTAATTTGTACTTTTTCATGTGAATTTCTTTCTTTTTTTAAAGCGCTTTCAAAATAATTTCACTTACACTGCAGCATGCGGATCTACGTATAGCTTAATAAAAACAATGAAAATTCGGGATTAATCTCAAAATGGAACTCTTAAATCTTAATGTATGAAGAAACCCCCGTTCAAGAAAACGCATTTGTAAGTTCTTAATCAACGAGACTACCTTCGCCATATTGAGATTATTAAAGAATATAAAAGGTTAACGGTGAGGTCTTCCTGTTATTAGATGGACAGGGCTCTCCATACGAATTTCCTGATGATTTATTCTGTTAATCACAAAAAAGTCAAGGAAATCATAATTTGTGATTCTACAATGGACACACTTACCACAAATAAAGAAATAATAATAAAGTAACCTCATAAATTGGGAAACAAAGATATTATCTGGCGAATGAAAGTTTGATACTGCGCAACTTTGAGTTAATAAAAACCATCTCCTGGAGTCCTGGTTTACATTTCGTGAATAGTAATGATTAACAATGTTTTTTCGTAGCCATTTTACCAAATGGACATTTCGCCGAATGAATATTTGGCCGAATGAACATTTGGCCGAAAAATTATTTATTCATTTTATTGTTTTTATACTAAATAGTACATAAAGAAATCTTTTCTAGATAAATTATTGAATTAGATGATTTTTATTAAATTTATCTCGTTGAATATTTTTATAAAAATGTTTAATTGCTACCATTTTCGACGAAATGTCCATTCTGAGAAATGCACTGTAACCTAATTATCCCTGGTTTGAGATCTTGATATTCGTGATTAGCTGTAGAAACTTCCATAATTTCATAATCAATCAACACTGGGATAATTTTTCATTAACCGTTCCTGAAAATGTAGAACCTTTTTTACATATCATTCCATTAGATTACGTTAGGCAACATCGATTTTGTTCACAACGTTTTTGGCTTATATGATATTTGGTTACAAATTTATTTATACATATGCAGCAAATCAAAGTAATTTATCACCAAAAATAAATCAAAAAGAAAATAGGGAATTTTCCCAATTGTTTTTTTGCCCGACTATATATTTGTTTGTTGGTTTCACGAGACATAGGCGATAATAAAATTTTTTTCGTAACACACAAAGTGGGGTAAAGTTACCCAATTTTGTTCGTTTCCGATAATCTACCAGAATTATGTTTTCATTTCATTCATAAGAAATATCCAGGATATGTTAAATGAATTTTATTGGGCCATACAATGGCACAAATAAAGAATCAAAATAAGTATCGCCAAAAATTAAATTGTTCAAAAAAAAAAAAAAAATAATTATTTTCATATATATATACATATATTAGATATATATAACCTAAATAATAAATATTATATGGATAGAAGTTTTACTAGCATACACATCAAGTGTAAAAAATGTATAAGTTTTTTAATTTGGCGATCGTTATCATCAGGGTTCATACTTTTCTAGATTTCACAGGACAAACAAAAGGTTGAGAAGCATAATAAGAGGGAATAGTCCAAGCGCGAGCTCTCATTAAAAATGCGCCATCATCAATACGAATCACAATTTCTTCAAAATACAATGGTTTGCCTTTTGTGGTTACACCACAGTAAGCTGATAAATCATTATAATTATAATATTTTGTACCATCGATCTCAACGCAAGAACCTTTTAAGTATGGTAATTTCAATGAAGGAGTTAAAGTAAGAGAACCTTCAGATGTTCTAAAAGATTCTGTGAGTGCACGAAAAATCTTATCATCTGCGGAATCCTTTAAAGTAAGATTTTCGAATTTTACGCCATTGTTCAAATTAGACGTTACGGTTGCTAATGCATCTCTTCCGTGGATTTCTAATCGATATAAACCTTTGTCCGGGTTTGGTTTTATGATATTATCGACATTATTTTGATCATTATTATTAGCGGTCGCATCGTTATTTATGACATTATTTTCATTTTCATCATTAGTGGTGTTATCTTCGGCGAGAGTATTATCATTAGTACTATCATCATTATTACCACCTTCTTGACCATCTTCATTTGTTAATGGCTTGTTTTTTTTCAAAATTGGGTTAGTATCATAAATTAAAGAATGAGAATTCCATCTTGCTAATTCTATATCTTTAATATTTATAGCGACGATAGGTTCACTTTCAGAAGCGTATGTTAAAACTTTCCAAGGTATTATATTTTCAGGAAAATTCTTTTCATAAATGTCTTCTAATAAAATTTGTAACTTTTCAAACCCATAATATTTTACATCAGCCAATAAATTATTCATTGTAATTTTATCATTAGCTGGCCAATCAACTTCATAACCTCTTAAATATCTAACCATCATACTAAAATATATTGGATCCCGTTCAATAAAAATACTCGTCGTTTTTGATTCAGAAAAATAACCAAAGAATGCTGCCGTAAAAAAATTTGGTGCATCACGACTTAATGATTCTGAAGTGAGACAAAATTTACTTTCTCCAACTTGAATATTATATGTCTGAATTTTAGAATATTTCTCAAAATAATTATTAATATTAATATTATTATTATTTATATTTTCATTATTATTATTATTATTTATATTATTATTATGTCCAAGACCTTTATTTTTATTATGTTTATTTGATTTTTTGTTACGATTATTATTAGAGATGGTTTTGATAGCCATTTTCTTTTATAAAAGAAAGGAATTTATAATGAAAAATAGGGATATAAAAAATCGATAAAAAAAAAATGAGAAAAAAAAAGGCAAAACATGAGATCTTTTATAATCTCGAATTATCGATGATCATTTAAAAAAAATATAAATGGATTTTTATATCAAGCATTTCAAGCATAAATTACATATGATATATTTTACAGTTACGCATTTTTTACTCACTTTTAAAACTTACTATTATTGGTTAAAGAATAAATTTAATATTGCCAAGAATCATTTACGATCGATTATTTTATTTTTTAATAAAGCATAAAATGTAATTCACAAGATTTTTATTATTAATTACGGAGTAAAAAAAAATCTTCAGTCGATCCCAATATCATAGCGCATATTGAACTTTTATTATTTCAATAGGTAAATTACACAGATATACCTTCCTGTTAGTGTAACAATATTGAATTTAAATTTTTTCAAGGAAAAAGAACCAAAATTTAGTGATCTTAATTCAACTTGATCGGCGGATATATTTTTTGCATATGATAAAGTAATAAATTTTTATTGTTTTAAATTTATTTTGCATAAGATACGCAAGAAGAGTGAAAATACTATTATATATGGTAACCCCCCAAGGCCCCCACCCCCTCATTGTCCAGTCGGCCGATTTTGAAGATCATTGTCATGTGGTGTGGGGGTTCAATCGTGATCAAAATGATTGGTTATACAAAAATTAGGATTGATCAGTTTTCTTTTGATCTACTTTTTGTTTTTCTTCTTTCATTTCTTTTTCTATATCTTTTTGTACATGTCCAACAATTCCTATAATAATTTTAATAATTAATGACCGATGAATAAAACTCACAAAAAGGCAATTTTACCTTTAGGATCATTTTTCATCGCCGGAGGATGTACAATATGTTCCCGATCCTGCCATCTTTCTTTATTTTCATCCGATTTATCTACTGGAATCATATCATCATGCCTTGGTAATGCATGAAATACAACTGCAGAATTTGGTTCTCTACCTAAGGTTATATTCATGTATATATAATATTAGTAAATATTTCTTTGTGTGAATAAAATATATAAATGACAGTATACCGATTGGATAATTGGGTTCAGTCATTTTTTTTGAATTTTTTTTAATTTTTCTTTTCCAATTTCCATGGATTCATTAATATTATTTATATTTAATTTTAAATTATATAATTATTATGTCATACGCCAAATATTCATGTGAATACCCACGATTTCTAAAATTTAGTAAACGTACGCCGCAAATAGAAAGCCATTTACAGTATATACTTAAAAGAAATCTTTTTTATACAGATTTGACTCTATTTGCTTAATAAATTCCAAGTATTTCATCAAAATTTTTAATTATTAATTGCTTTTTGGGAACATTTTCAAATGTTTAATCTGCTATTTTTCGCCAAATTTATGCGATCCTAATTTTATAATTTAGAAATATGATGAAATTATCAAATCATATAGAAAGATGCCATTTAGGTAAATGATCTGCACAATTACTAATACGTTAACTGTTAAAGTATATGATATCATAACGTAATAATATTTATCACACGTAACTGAATGTCTATGCTAACTCTGTTAATGATTTATAAAAATTTATTACTTTTTCTTCAGCAAATACTTTATCCGCTGAAAAATTAAGTACTTGTAAAGAATTAAGAGATGTTGCTCTTGATAAAGCTACATAAGCTTGGCCTATGTTTCAATTGATTGTCTAAATCGTTATTATCAATTTTTATTTAAAAAAAAAAAAATAAATAAATTAAAATTACCTGTTTCAAACACTCGGTCTAGATTAATTTTAACGCGTTCTAAAGTATGACCTTGACTTTTATGAATACTAACTGCCCAACAAAGAATAAGTGGAATCTAGAAAAAATATATTTTGGTGAAACTTAATAAATTTATATATTTCACTAATCGAAATCGTTAAACGCGAACCTGTCTACGACTTGCGACTTTTTTCTTATATTTATTTTCTAAAGACCATTCAAACGGAGGAATTACCTTAGTCTGCCCATTGATAAATTTTACCACAGGCAGTAAAGATACGCTATCTTCTGTAGGAACATCTTCATAAAATTTCGACGTAATTTTAGAAAACCATCCAACCACAACACCTTTACTACCATTAACTAACTCTGATGTAGTATTTTTAAGTAACATAACCTGAGCATCACGTTTAAGTCTCAAATTCTTTGGGGCCAGACAATTTCTTATAAGTGCTTCCAATCGACCACCAAATTTGGGTTCCCAGTCTTCTGCTTCATAAACCATTTCTTTATACGGAAGCTCCGCTAATTTTGCAGTATTTACATTATTTACATATTTGTTAATAGCATATCTAAAATTGTAAGGAAAAAAAGACAAGAAAATAAGAATTAAGCTTCTTTTATTAGTCATTTAATTGAAAGTAGGATCACAAAATTTACAATTCAGTTACAAGAATCCCGTCATTGTTATAAATGGGCGCCTTTTCTAGGTTACTCATAATCTGACTTGATTTTTCTGATACATGTCCATATCGAAATTCATTCAACATTTTGACAAATTCTGATCAAAAGGTAAAACATTAACTTTGGTGTTAAAAAAGTCAAAAAATAAAAAAATTATATTAATATACCTTCTTCACGTTGTCTATGTACTTTAGTAAGTTGAAATGTATGATCAAGCGACTCCGACCATGAATCTACTTCGAAACAATATTTTACTTTTTCAATATCATTTTTAATCGGAGGAAGTTGAAAAAAATCTCCCGTTAAAACCAACTGAAAAAAAATCAAATATTTTGTTTATTATAAAGTTTTATATCCTTAAAATTATTAAAAATAATCAAACCTGTAAACCACCAAAAGGTTTCTCATTACAACGAAAATGTTGAGCAATACGGTTTAATTTATCAAATAAATTGCCATTAAGCATGGAAACTAAAATTTATCAATAAAATAATTAACTTTTTACAATATTTTTAACCGCTTCAATTTTATAAAGATTATACCTTCATCAATCACCAACGCTTCTGTTTTCTTCCATCTCGCTTTTGCACCTTTAGAGAGATTTTCTATAATATCTTCAATTTCATAATATTGTGTTTGAGGAGTAAGTCCTGCAAAGGAATGTAAAGTTTGCCCTCCAATATTTATTGCTGCAATACCAGTTGTTGCTGTAATCCCAACATTAGACCGTCCGTAATTTTCTTTTAATGTTTTAATTATGGAACGTAAAAGTACACTTTTACCAGTTCCTAAAATAAACAAGTCATATATATTTAATATTTAATAATTATTCTTTTTTAACTTTTTAATCAAGTTACCTGCAGCACCCGTATAAAATACATTTTTACGTTTTGTGGTAATCGAATTTTTAACGGCTTCTTGTTCCGTGCTAAGCTTGATATTACTATCTCTTTGTTCCTCTAACAATTCCTAAATCGCAAGCTAGAGCTATATCAAATGATTAAGTTGTAGTACCGTAAACATCATCTACATTAATTTAAATTACCTGGTCCTCTCGTGATGTATGTGGTTCATCTACGCACTAATTTTTTTAAGAAATATTATAAATGATATTTGTAATAAAGATAAATTTTAACGGCTAAAACAATCACTTAACATGCAATAATTTTTTCAAACTAGCATTAGATATATTTTTCTGGTTCCAATTCATAAAATTCAACAAACTAAAAATACCAGGTTGTTGAAATTTATTCATTTTCTCTAGATCATCTCAAGTAAAATAATTTTTAACTTAATATGAGATTATTATAAAAGAATTGTTCAGAAAATTACTGCCTAGATACGAAGAATGATTTTAAAAACGTACTTACCAGATTGCAGATAAAACAAAAAAATTTAAAATTTTAAAATATATATCAAAATTATCGAGAACGTGTTAAATAGCCTCTTTAATCGTTGGATTTACACGTCCTTGGTACTAATAAAAAATATGCTTTATTTTATGCATAATAAAAATTTTCATTATAAAAAAAATTTCATAAATATAACTTTTTTTGTACATTAAATCATCAAAGTGATGTCAGAATAATAACTGACATATATATAAAATTCTTTCTTGTTTATGTGTTTGTTTATGATAAATTATGATATTGAATATTAAATAATGGATATAATCCAATATTTTTTTTTTGTCATATTATAACTACACTTACATATATTAAACTTATACAACTAAACATATATAAGGACTAAGCATTATGAGACATGACTACTTTTCCAAGGAACTGTTACCTTATGCAATTATATCATTATTACAAACAATGATACAACCAAAATCTCTAGGTTAACTGTCAAGATCCGCCTAAAAATTTGTCCAATGTCCACCCCAATGAAATGCTATTTGTCCCAATAACTTTACTATTTCAGCATTCTCCTTGTTTCAGTTTTTACTGCTCAACTTCATTTTCTTGTATTTACTATTAATATTACACCTTTTTTCTTTATCAATTTGCATCTCATTCCTAGATTATTACATGCTACTATTAGCTTGCATGTATAATTCTTTCTTTATTAATTGATGTATATACTATCAGATATAAAATGATGAAATCATACAAATAATTTGAATAGAAAAGTAACTCATTTAATCTTTAACTCGTGTATTTTTGTCGTTTAGATATTTTTTTCGATAAAAAAAAAAATGATTATCATATTACTTATAGGATAGTGACTTGCCCCCTTAAAATTTATACTGCAGAAAATTTTGTGAAGTCTTGTGTCATATAATGTTGTGCCTCAGATCGATTCTTGCCTCGCAACTCTCCTCAGAAATCGTCATGTGAGGTGCGTGATGTGGATCATTGATAATCTCTGAGGCAAATATCGATCGTTTTCTACTTTTTTATTAATCTGAAATAGTGCTAGTTTAACCCATTAGTAACTACACTAAAAAATTGTTTTTAATAGGAACGGTTCTTCACAGCTATGGAAATTATCCAAGTTGCTTAGATTTTAGTTATTTTTTATATCATATTCACAGAAATTACGGATAAAATTTTTTACAAGGGATCTGCTGACTCTGTAGGAGGAATTGGCTACTCACATGTTACAGAAGTCCAGAAAGCATAATAAAACAAAGAAAAGGAGAATTTAGCGCCTCCTTCTGGTAAATGATAATGAGGTAAGTTTCGGAAGCTTTTATTTTTTTTTCTTTTTCAGAACGGTACTAACCATTCCTTCCTTTTTCTTTTTTGTTAAACATTTTAAGGTAGGCCCGGCGTGTCAAATCGTCTTCTCGAATACCTGTGTTTCCTAAATATGTCTGTCTCAGGTAAAAATGTAACACATAGAAATTGGATTGATACTCTTAGCGATATCTGGAAAAACCATCCTGTTGCACGGATTCAGAAATTAGCAGACAAAAGTATCAAAAATTATCAGGTGATGTATTTGCATTTATTGTACGAGGATACGGGATTAAACAGAAGTTGGTATCGCTCCTGCGTTCATCCTCCGCTTTGGGCGCAGGATTAGATCCTCTGCTTTCCTCCACTTTCGGAGAGCGATATCAACGGGAAGATGGGAATCACGGTGATCCTCTGCTTTCATCTTGTGGCATAATCCTCCGCTTTTATCCCATCTTTCACGGGGCTCTGTTTTCTGTTGGTCATCTTCCGCTTTGGCACTGCATTAAATTCAGCCACTAATCTGGTTGATCCCGAAAAATTATTTTCATTTATATGTCCTTTGATAAAACACGCTTAAACCTGTCGTCAACGTTTATATATTTTTTCTAACTTAGAATGAAATCAAATCTCAAGCTGTCTTAAAATTCTGGACAGATATCGAAAAAGCAAAACTCAGAAACAAATTATATTCTATTCACTTCAATGGATTTGCAGAACTGGTTAATATTTATTTTCTGTGCATCACACCATTTTCTCTGCTTTTACATTCAGGTTGAAAATAGAAACAATTTCGGGTACAATGAACTTCAAGATATTCAGGTCGAAAATAGTGATATTCAAGTTGATAATAGGGATAATTCAACCCACAAACCGAGCATAATGAACTTCAAGATATTCAGGTCGAAGATAGTGATATTCAAGTTGATAATAGGGATAATTCAAACCCACAAACCGAGCATAATGAACTTTGAGATATTCAGGTCGAAAATAGTGATAAATCAGCCGGAAATACAGAATCCGGCTTTGATAATGATGAAGAACCATACGAAGAGTGAGTAATTGCTTCTTGCGCTTTAATATTATAGACTTCCTATTCACATTTATTATTCTTCTATGTAGGGAACATTTTGCACACATTATTGATCTTGATAAAGTGACGGAACGAGATAGACCTCCGTTCTTGAATATTACCGAATCACAATTACCATCAATAAAATTACCTAAATCTGTTGAACAACAACTTGACTATTATCTGGCGGAGACAACTATTGAAAAAATTTGGGAATCATTCGAGTCATACAAAATCGTAAATTCGGACGATGAGCTTTACACTCGCAAAAGTCGTGGATCACTTGTAAGTGCTGTTAGTATGATTTCATTGTATGAAGAACCAAAATTATTCTTGACTAATGATGCAAAATAATAGTATTTTTTGTCTCGAGAAACGACCAGAGTATTTTGCGCAACGGCCGAGTACAGAGACAACATTCCGTGTTCGATTTATTGAACCCATAATCATATTTATATTTAAAAACTTGGACTTTACCTGGTAAATGACTACAACATAAGTTATTTTTAGTCTTCCGGCAAAGTGATCACTTTCTATAACACATCAAATAGATTGTACATGTATTTTTTTTTATCAAATATCTCTAAGGCAATGTGTGAATATATGAGTGGCGGTCGAAGGGCGAGAAGTAGTCGAGCTGGCGTTAAATATTTTGATGAATTTCGTACTCATTTTTGGGAGAGGCCTGAAGATTCATTTGACAGAATCCGTAATATAAATATTTCCAATTGCAGACGAAATAGGAGAAATTCTTCATCTACACCTTCTATTGGAGAGGTTGAACAGACTCTAGGCCAAAGATCGTCTAGCCGAAGACGTCGATGGATGAAGCAATCAAAGGAAGGCGCTGTGCATAGCCTAGAGACATTTCCTCATATTATTACCCGATACCATTTGTATCTCCTCCGCATTTCTTGAGAATTGTTGATTGTCAACCTTATAAGATGGTGATTGGGTAGTTGAAGTCGCCATGTTTGCTCCAATATTTCTTGGATTTCCCCCATCATCATCATTATGGGCCAAAGATGGAGCTTGAGACGGATTACGAGATGGAGATTCCAAATGTATACAACTCAGTTAATATATTTGAAAATTAATAAAGTATTCTTCGGGAATAAGCAGGAGGAGGGATTTAACCTTTATCTATAAGCAAAAATAGTATCATCATGTAAAATTATGCGCAACAATAATTGCATGTAACTAAAATTTCGAAATTGATGCAAATGAATTGTATTTATTTATTCAATAAGTAGTTTACACAGCATTCACATAAGCTTAAAAAATATATATAAGCCCGATGTGGGCATGAAGACATTATTCGTGAATAAAAAAAATAGAAGTTATTAAGCCTTTTTTTAATAACATGCAAGTCTAAAGTGAATTCGTTAAGAATTTGAGACCTAAAATAACACGGATTATTTCGAATGCTCCAGATAATATTATTTCCATTAATTCGATACCATTGATTGATCAGATCAATTTATAATACCATGCAAGTTTAAAGTGAATCCATTAAGAATTCGAGACCTAAAAGTACTCGGATTATTTCGAGTGTTCCAGACAACATTATTCCCATTAATTCGACACCACGTCAAAGTTTGATCAAGCGGATCAATTAAGATACCTTCCTAGATAAAACAACCATAATAATTAATAGCAATAGCAGAATAAACATAAACAACAAATAAACAATTATTAATCACTTACATCTACCCCAGAAGCCATTTAATCTAACATTTTATTATGACAATAATCCCAAGAATCATTATCAGAACATATTTCCGCAACGAAATTTGGAGTGACTGGTGGAAACGCCTCAGCTTGATTGTTAGTGGACCTTGTGGCAAGAACCACAGAGTAGGGATCGGAAAAGATTCGATTAAAATCGAAACTATCGAAAATCGATAAGAATCAATTTTAAATCGAATCTCGAATAAAAATCGAATCTACTTATTGTGGCGCAGTTTCGTTAATTTGACCGTAAATTATTATTTGTTCATAATAGTTAATTTTGGCCAAATTCATAATTCCGCCCGCGAATCACGTGAAGGAACACAAACTTCCTAAAAAGGAAATTTTATCTCCCAATAAAATTCAAGTTGCTATCGCACAAGGTTGTACAAAATTCCAAAAAAGGAAATTTGTTCGTCGATCACTATGATTTTGTAATCACGTGATATGTGTTTAAACACACCTATTATAAATAGTATAAAAAAAAATCAGTATTTGCGAAATGATTAATCGCGATTAATCGATTTTAGAATCGATTCTAATAATGGGAATCGATTCCAATCCCTACCACAGAGGTATCTGGACCTCAAATAGTAGGATTTGGCAGAGGTAAATTATAGTATGTGAGTGAGTGACTAAGGTTGCCTGCCGAAACTGTTTTCCAATTTCCGAAACGTTTCGGCTATGAAGTTCCAGTCCGAAATTAAAACCGAAACCTGAAATGTTTTCCGAAATGGCGTAATTAAGCCAAAACTGTTATTAATAAAAGGACCAAAGAGAAACATTAGAAACGTTTCTTTAATCATAAATACGCCTTCCCATTACCTCCACCGACCACATACCTTAATTCCCAAAGTTCAATTCATAATACTCGTCCGGAAAGGCAGAAATCCTACAAAAAGAAAACCAGAAACGTTAATAACGTTTCTTAAAGAATTTTTTTTTTAAAAAAAAAAATGAAATAAACCTCACCTTCAATGGTTTATTTCCAAAGCCGGGTTGTAATATTCGTCCAGGAATCCTACAAAAAGAAAACAGAAACGTTAATAACATTTCTTAAAGAAATTTAAAAAAAACAACGAAATAAAAACGAATAACTCACCTTTAATAGTTTAATGGTTCCGTGGTCGGTAGTTCGTAATACTCATCCGGGAACCAAGCAGCAATGGTGCGAAATATAAATATTGCATTTTCAAGTATATTATTTGATAAATCAATTTTATTGGGTAAAACAAGAGAGTGGGAATTATTAAGAGGTGTAGAATTTTTTATTTTTAATACAGGTAAAGGCTTTGTTTGATAGAATTTCTTTGGGAATTTTTTTAATAAAAAGATTTTTTTGATAAAAAATTTCGTTAGAGAATTTTTTTCATTGATAGGGACATTTCTGAGTTTTTTTTTGATGGATAAAACTTTTATTTGATAGATATTTAAATAAATAATTAAATAAATTATTAATTATAATGTTAAAATATTAAATTATCAATTAAATTAATAAAATTATATTTATAATTTCGGTTAAATTTCGGACTTTCGGTATTGTAAGTTTCGGCAAATTTATTTTTAATTGCCTAAACTTTTGGCAATAGAAAAGTTTCGGCCTTGGCCTAAACTACCTAATTTTGGCAGGCAACCTTAACTGTAGTATAATTCAAGATAGTTAATTTCGCAACCAAGAAATTATCTATATTTTTGTCGTATCTAAAATCTTACATTATTTTAATAAAAACCTATTTTCTTTAACTGAATATTCAACATTATTTCACGTGATTATTTGTGATCAATTCAAGACTTTCCTATTAAATTAAACTCCAGTTAACCTGTTAAAGCATTAAAGTTTTTCAGTCAGCTTTAATCATTGACAGAATAACAACATCATGATATTTAATATATAATAACTGTTATTTACTACTCATCCAAAAAATACTTATTAATTTTGAAGAGATCATATTAATTCTTAGAATTACAATAAATAAAGGTTATTATGTTGTTTAGCTAATAGGCTTTTCAGTAGATTAGCTAAGTCATTTGAAGTATCAACAATTTGCCACTTAACTTTTTGAATAAAATTTAGTATATCTTGAAAATGAATATATTGAATATCATATTTAAGGAGCAAATAATATGAATATCTGAAATTTCATATGATACAAAATATTTAATATTATTTTTTATTTTGGCAGGTAAAGCATAAAATTTAGCTAAAAATATTGCTATATCAGATAAAAGTATATGATTATGTTCATTCAAAAATGTGTTAATGAAAATAAAATAAATTTGGATAAATTGATATACCAATTGAGTTTTTTTTGTATTCTTATTTCTGATGGCTGTAATACGATTATTATCATTTGGAGCTTTTTCTGAATATTTACAATTTAAATATCTTGAGTAAATACTTCTATCTAAATTTTTATCCATACATTTTTTCTTACAGTAAATCTTTTAAAACATCTATATTCTATATAATAATGTACTATAATATTAAAATTAGAAAATAAAGTTCCTTTTTTAATATTAGGACAATTAGAAAACCTAAAAAAGTTTTTTTCAAATTGGATTTAAGATTTTAAGTAATGCATATGGTTTTAATCAGAATTATAAATAAAACAAAAATATACAAAAATTTAATAAAATAAGTAAACTAGAAAACTGAAAAATTATAAATATTAAACAAATATTAATAAAATTAAACCAGTAGTATTATTCTCATAACTAGTCTCTTTTTCTGAAAAATCCACTTGAATAGGATTTACAAATATATATATAGGGGTCAGGTGATGAAAAAAATTTTTATTATGAATCGTATGCATTTTTTCAGGACTGGAATTATGATAATGTCAGCTGGTTACTATAATAGAAAATAAAATTCTGACTGGCATTATCAAAAATTATCTAAAAAAGAAAAGATTTCATGATTTTTTTAGTTCAAAATACTCAAACTCAAACCTAACCCTTATATATATATTTTTGAGTTCTACTTAAATATTAAAGTTAAAATCAGCAAAGAAAAATGTCATATTGTTATCATTATTATTTTATAAAGAATTCATTTATTAAGTCTTGAAAACTTATTAATTATAAAGAAAAAAAGTATAAAGAATTTTTAGATATATGGAACTTATTTTTTTTTTTTATAAAAAATTCTTTTAAAAAAAAATAAAAAAAAATTTCCATGTTTATTTGTTGTTAAAAAAGTAATGAATTATAAATGATAAATCATATGATTATTATATTATATAATCAAATAAATCAATAAATAACAATTTAACATATATTATGTGTAAATTTAACAATAAATAAATTTACATTTTACTTCACGTGATTTTTGAATTTTGGCCAGAATTAAGTGATCTACATAGAAATTTCCATTTTTTGAATCTTGTGTAATACATTTCTCCATTTTTGATAAGAATAAACCTGCCTTTTTTGTATTGTATAACGTTACTCATTTGGCCAAAAGGAAATTTCTATGTCAATTACTTAATTCCGGCCAAATTTTAAAAAAATCACGTGATAAATGACAAATATCGCTTATCATTTACTGGTTTTGTGGGCGCAGTTTTTTGTGTCATGGGGGGTGACAAATAAATTAATGTCCCTTGTTCCTTATATGGTGAAGATTGACACAAACCGCGTCCACAACTTGCGTGCTCCGAAATGACATAATGACATATCTGATATGTCATGTCACTAAAGCCATTTGTGTCATTTCATATCACTTTACATCACTGGATTATGGTTTATAAAATTTATTTTTGCGATAAAAAAAAAATGGCATATTACTTGTGACTTATATTTATCTTGTGACTCATATTTATTTAGACTACTGATTAATTTTTAATCACCAAAATTTATACTTCTATACATACTTTTACGTTGTCAAAATGTCTGAATTCACTTATGAAGAACTCGCTCCTCATTACCAACTGGACAGGAATAGTCTTGAAATAACGCGTGTTGACTGTGTCCCTGTTACTTTAGAAGATTTCAAAGAAATTACAAAAAAACTTCCTCCTTCTCATAATTTGGAATTAGCTGCCAACAAAATTACTGTAAAAATGCCCGTTAGCGCTCTAACTGGTATGCTATTTTTGTTAGAATTTCAACAAACGTTTCTTTTCCGTGTTTTAATCATGATAAAAAAATAGGTCAAAGAGAAGCTTATCTTATAGGACGAATCACCATATGGTGTGAAAACAATCCTTTACTTGTTGGATTAGTCGGAAGTAGTAACGTATATTACAATTTACCTCTTCCAAATCCCACTGTTCGTAGTCCGGATGCTTCCGTGGTTCTTGCCGCGAGGTTCTTTTCTAATTATATAAATGGTTTACATGTTTGTATATTTTTATATTTTTTTAACTTTTTTTTTATTGCAGGTGGGGCGCACTAACCCGTAACGAACAAGAGGAGGCGTTTCCGTCAGTCACTCCAAATTTCATTGCAGAAGTACGATCAGTGAATGATTCTTGGCAATTTTGTCACGATAAAATGTTAGTTTACATGGATGCTGGAGTAGACGTAAGTGATTAATAATTGTTTATTTGTTATTATTCTGCTATTGCTATTAATTATTATGATTATTAGGAAGGAATTTTGATTGATCCAATCGATCGTACTTTGACGTGCTATCGAATTAGTAGAAATAATATAGTCTGGGGGACTCGAAATAATCCACGTTCTTTTACGTCAAGAATTCTTAATGGATTCGTTTTAAACTTGAATAATATTATATAATCTTAATTTCAACATCTAATGTCTTCAACTCTTCATGGCCATATCAGGCTTATGTATTTTTTTAGCTTATGTACACCCACCTGCCAAAAGTATCCAGACACTTCTAAAAAATGACCATTAAATCACATTATTTCGACATCCAGTGATCAGAATTTAATGATTTATGATTCATTGGATTCGTCTAATTGAGACGCATCTAACCGCAGTATTTTCAAGTCTGTAAGTTCAATAGACCAGAAGTTATCGTTGAATGTCTAAAAACAGTAAAATGCAAATAACTTTTGATCCATCAATCCTAGAGACATGAAAATAATAGATACAATGTACCTTAACAAGACAAATCTAATGAGTTATATTTCATCTTACTAGGTTTAATAGGGAAGAAAACGTTATGAAATTTGTATTTGCTAAATTTTTAAAGACGAAAAATAAATTACTTCATAAAGTTAAATCACATTATTTCAATAACCAGTGATCAGAATTTAATTATTTATGATTCAATGAATTCATATTATCAAGATGCATCAAATTACAGTATTTTTCTGTCTCTAAATTTGATGGATCAGATGTTATTCTCAACAGTAAAATGCAAATAATTCATTTTTCATCTTTAAAAATTTAGCAAATACAAATTTCATAACGTTTTCTTCCCTATTAAACCTAGTAAGATGAAATATAACTCATTAGATTTGTCTTGTTAAGGTACATTGTATCTATTATTTTCATGTCTCTAGGATTGATGGATCAAAAGTTATTTGCATTTTACTGTTTTTAGACATTCAACGATAACTTCTGGTCTATTGAACTTACAGACTTGAAAATACTGCGGTTAGATGCGTCTCAATTAGACGAATCCAATGAATCATAAATCATTAAATTCTGATCACTGAATGTCGAAATAATGTGATTTAATGGTCATTTTTTAGAAGTGCCTGGATACTTTTGGCAGGTGGGTGTAAATGTGTAAATGCTGTGTGAACTTAATGAATAAATAAAATTGTTTAATACAATTAATTTACATCAATTTCGAAATTTTTATGTGGTTTTTAATGCAATTACTGTTGCGCATAATTTTCATGATGATATTATTTTTGCTTATAGAGATAAAGGTTAAATCCCATCTTCCTGCTTATTCCCGAAGAATACTGTAAAAAATTCACGCACTTTTTGCCAAGAAAAAATTTTTATTACAGTAATAAAAAAAAAATAAAAATTTCATCCGGATTCCGTGTCAAGCCGGATATTTTTCATCCAGCGGATGAATCCGGATTGATCCGGATACGGGTCGAAGCACTATGTAATATAAATATTTGACGATCCGTCAAAAAATTAATGAGGTTTTTAAACTGTTAAGTTAAAATTCTGAGCTTTGGATTTTATATCTTATCACACCATCACAGAATAATTGATTCTTCTGATTTTTAAGGATTAGCCAGTATTTTTGACTTCGTCAATAAACTCCTTTCACGTTGAAACAGTTATTGTCATACCTTGTTCTTTATTTTGATAGTAGATTCCTCAATAAAGACATTATTAGCTTTATTTCCATGCTGATGAACTTTCAAAAGAGAAACTAAATTATTTTTGATTCCTATTTTTTTTGTTGCTTTTGTTACATTTTCGTTTTATGCACTAATTCGTTTTATATCTTTCTTTTTATGTAAGTGGAACATGAAAAAGAAGATTGTTATAACTTAGGAAATGGACTTTAAAGATAATATGAAAGGTAAATGAGTTACTTGTTTGTCATCTCCTTTAAGAAACGTTACTAAAATATTTTTGATGTTAAATGTTTTATAAATTCATTTTTCATGTTTCATTGATTAAAAAAAATGATTTTTTTAGACTACCAAAATCCGAATATTTAATTCTCATAGCTCTATTTTTAAATAATTTATAACAGAATATGATATTAAAATGACGTTAATGATTTAAAAAAATACTTGACTTATCCGAAATTGATTTTCCAAAAATTATTCAAACAATTCTCAAGATAGTGGTGAAACCCTTTAAATAATTACATTGCAAAAAACAGAAAAACTGCTGTCTTGTATTCCTCAAATTTTTCGTAAACGTGTTTTAATATTCCGTTCTTAATTGTTTTTCAATGAAAAGATATACTTCTTTCTGATACAATTCTGACACCCTTTTTATACGTTTTCTTTTCTTATCTCGATAATCAAAATATCAATCTTTTACTAACACGAACTGCTTCTTTCCTTATATTTTCACCATTTATACCATTCTCCCAATATCTTATATGTTACTAATTCTAATTGATCTATAATTTCATAATATTTTTTATTTCCCCATTTTCTTTCATCAATTTCTGTTTAATCTTTCATTATTACATCTATTCCTCCTGTAGCCCTTTTTCTATCTAATTCTTCCTTATCAAAAATATTCGTTCTTTTACCTATAATTTTTCTTGGGTCTAAAAATTCTTCTACATTATACTTCTTTTCTTTTTTCTTAATATGTTCTTTCTTAATTACCATTTTTCAATATTTATTTTCCTTAATTTTCTAAAAAAATACACATATATCCTTTAATTTTCAAATTCTTATTCTATATATATTTGAGTAATCTGCATCAGCTAATAAAAACCTATTCATAAAAAAAGAAGTTAATACTGCTTCAAAAGAAAGGAATTAAAACACACCACCCCACTCATAAAAACTTATGTCATAAAACATCGCTGAAAAAGTTTAGGCCAAATCTTAAAAATGGTATAGTCAGTACCATTCCAAAAGAAAGCACTTACCCAACCCACCCACTCAAAAAAAAAACTTACATCAAAAAAGTCCACTTGAGGAAAAAATCCGGACCGAATCCTAAAAAAAAGAGAAAAAAGGGCGGTTAGGATCAAAGGTAAAAAAAACTCTTGCCCTGCCAATATTAATTTCTCCATAAATAATAAAAAAAATTTTTTTATTTAAGTTCGGAGAGGTTGCACGAGTTTTTTTTTTATTATTATTATTATTTCATAGAGAGGAGTATAAACCAATGACAAAAACATAATAGAAGCTAACAACTACAAGTAGCGAAAGACTAATCTATTAGGGGTGCTGTGGTTATTAATCCCACATAACAGAACCTCACCCTCCGAGCGGCACTAAGGTTGCACGAGTTGATACTAAAAATCTAATTATCTAAAAAAGTATCGACTCATGTGATTAAAATAACACATGACCGAAATTTATTTTTAGCTTATCAGGGATTTCGTGTAGCACCTAAGCGACTGTTCCTCTTACTATAAAAAATGGATAGGTTATTTCAGAAGTTATTTTTGTCAAAGCTTCAAACATCAAGGGAGTTAGATGAAGACAGGTGAGTAGGCATTGCACTAGTTTGTATTGAAGTTTGCTCAGTATTGACTTATGTGATTTCAGTCTTCCATTTCCGATTGCCTCAGGCATATTCCTGGAAAAATACAATTCTTTCATCAAAAGTAAAGAAATAAGTGGATATAAGTTTGATTATAGAAATGGACTGTATATATAGTTGAAATGTGTTTGCCTGAACACGAAGTAGTAATTGAAATTATTGGGATGCATTTCGTAAGTTCTTAGTTTACATAATCTATCACCTCTTATTGTGTTCTAATATTTTTCATATCCTTTCCAAAGTTTATGTCATGCCAGATGGAACTTGTAGAGGAACAGATCTTGCTATTGGTCCTCATCCCAATTTTGTTCCAAATCCTCCTGTTCTACACCCTGGTCCTCCGCCTAGCAATATAAAGGTACTTTTGATTTGTCATGTATTTTGTGATATCCTAAATACTATTATCGTTTAGCTAAATAGGATCATGCAGATTTTCATAGACCGATATTTTTATTAGCCATAGCAATAACACATTATTGATATAATAAAGTGGAGTAAAAAAATGGCGTAAATGAATATTTTGTAGAGAAAAGTTTAAATAAAGCTTATATAAAAATGAAATTTATAGAAAACTTATTTATAATGTTATTAATTAATACATGATCAAAAACGTCAGAACGATAACACTTTTATTGGATGTGGGCTATATCAGTCACAGGGCCCTTCAATAACTATTTAATATGGTGAATCATAAAAAAAAATAAAATAGAGTAGTTAGTTGCAAGTAAACAATAAAAGTTATTCGTTACCAATTGTAAATTATGAAGAAAACGAGAAATATATTTTATTAGGGTATATTGTAAATCTTACGATACTTTATTTTATGAAACCCCCGTGAATTTACACTTTTTCGTTATCAAAATCACGTGAACGTAACGTTTTTCCGAAAAGTATTTTGCTAGAGAACTTTTATATCTTAAAAGACATGTATATTACCAGAGGACAGAGGTAATGCTTCGATCTCACCGCGTAAAGACTTTTTTACATACATATGAAAAATAAAATGTTTAACTCGATTTGTTGAAAATTACGTTACTTTATTATCAGTTATGTATTCACAGAAATCAAATAATTACACCTGAAATTTGAGACAATTAGCACTAAAAAGAAAATCTGATCAAATTATCAAATTACGGTCTATGCGAAACTGATTAACGTAAGTATAGCCATACCTAATTTCCCTTATCTCATTGAAACCGCAAAAAGGGAAAGAAAAATCGGACTAAATCAACAGAAAAAAATTTTATCACAAAATGGAACGATGAATGATTGGTCTAGAAACGTAATTTGAATGTGCCTGCTCTGCAGAACAAACATCTATCGTTCATCCGAGGATTCGAAAAAAAAAAAATAGATTCTAATCACTTATTCACGACAAAATGCAAATTTTTTTCATTAACAATTGTCGCATATGAAAATCTATGTCTGGATAAGTATATAAAAAATTTGTATCTTTTATTGATATATATAATTCATGATAACATTGTAGATTATATTAAGTATCACTAATTATAGTTAATTAATGTAAATAATTTATTAAATTACGTGCGTATATTAAAAAATTAATTTATCAAATAAATTAAAAAATTCAGCATGCAGCAATAGGATATTAAGCACCAGGAGGCTTTTTACATTCATCACACCTCTCGGCAATGGGATATGATCTCTCAGCAATGGGATATGACCTTTCGGCAATGGGGTATGACCTCTCGGCAATGGGATATGACCTTTCAGCAATGGGGTATGACCTCTTCTCGGCAATGGGGTATGATCTCTCAGCAATGGGGTATGACCTTTCAGCAATGGGGTATGACCTTTCGGCAATGGGGTATGATCTCTCGGCAATGGGGTATGATCTCTTCTCGGCAATGGGGTATGACCTCTTCTCGGCAATGGGATATGACCTGCCAGCAATAGGATATGAATCAGCACCAGGAGGATTTTTACATTCATCACATCTCTCAGCAATGGGATATGACCTCTCGGCAATGGGGTATGATCTCTCGGCAATGGGGTATGATCTCTTCTCGGCAATGGGGTATGATCTCTCTGCTATAGGATATGACCTGCCAGCAATAGGATATGAATCAACAGCAGGGAGTTTAGGACTTTTACATTCATCACACCTCTCAGTAATAGGTGCGGCATTTATAACGGAAAGCGCCACTAAAATGGACGCAACAATAAAAATTCGGACCATAATTTTTATTTTTTTTTAATGAATGTAGTTATTAGAGTTTCAAAGTTTTTTTTTTTAATTATTGAAATTTTGATAACTTAGTTTCAGAGGCATTCTTTTTATAAGAAAAAAAAAAATACATATTTATTATTTCGCCTGATCTCACTAAAAATGTTTTTATATTTTGACATGAAAATCAAATTAAAAAGAAACCAAAACAGTTTCATATATAATCAATAATATGAAGTTGGTAATTGGGGGAAATGGGGGTAAATTAAACAAATTAAACTGTACGGAACGTGATTTCAATTTTTTTTACCAAATTGGGATTTCGGTAAAATAAACATTTCGGTAATTAAATGTAAATTGGTGTAGATCCATTAGAAATATAAGAAATAAACTTTATTTTCTATGCAATATTTTCTTAAAGTCGTCGAGAGTTTTATACGTAATTTCTGGTTCGAGATACTCAATGAAATCTGCAATTTCTTTGCAAGACTAGCTTTCATACTATTTATAACTTCGAAATTCTTCTTTGGTTGTATTAAGAAGGTCACGATCAACAATTTTCTCATTGCGAAGAATTTTGATATAGAGCTTCAAGGCTTTCTTTCCTAAATAAGTTGTTCCTCTATATCGAAATCCTTAATAGCTTCTGCCATTGTTCGAGTGGAAATTTCTTCCGTTATTGAGGCGGGACAATGCTTTATTTACAGAATGTACGAGACACTTAGCAAATTTTAAAGAACTCGGAAAGTTCAAAATAAGATAAAATTACAAGCTTTACCGAATACTTCCGAGTTCTTTAAAACTTGTTAAGTGTCCCGTACATTATGAAATCAGCTGTAATAAAAATAATCGTTACCGGAACCCGGCTTATAGTACATAAAAATTCGAACACGTTTTATAAAAAAAAACAATATATCGCGTTATATGAGGTGAAAAAAATTCCAACCACATTAAGGAAGAATTCGGATATGAATAACATCTTCATTAGGAGTCTCATTAAAAATTCTCACATAGGCATATATTTTGACGGAGAAAGCAAATTCTTTCTTAAGCAATAACGTCAATTAAATCAGTGAATGATTGTCGATTTTTTATTTGTCTTGCCAAGGAAGATCACCATGTGAAAAGGTATGAAAGTTCTATCTTAAGTAAAAGAGAAAGTCGAGCTATATATATATATTATTTTTTTATGATTATTTTTTCCGCGCCAAATCAACTTACTATACCAAATTTACTATACGATATTATTATAATTTTTTTCTGATACACGATTTTCATTCCTTAAATAATGTTCTTTATGTGAAGCCAACATATTTTATGAAATCTCGAACGGCCGACAACAAAATCTAGATAATCCAAAATCTTTGACAAGTCAAAACCCTGATCTCGACAAATCATTATATAGAACAAAAATTATAATACATTTAAACTAAATATTACATATTGCAAGTGACTGTCGAGATTTTGATCGGATACCCATATTTTTAATATATCACAAAGTTTCAAATAGTTTGTTTTTTACAATAAATTTTTTACATAATTTTGACGTCTCCCAAGAAAAAGAGATTGACCGTAATACGAAGTAATACAATTCTTATTTAATACAAATTAAATTGTGGCAAAGTAATGTTTCAAATACATTAAATAAAATAGTAACCTATATTAAGAAAATATATAATATTTCATATAATCATATTATGAAAATGAAATGAATTGTGTGCGTGAATTTGATTGGCAATTTTCATATGCTTTTAGATTTGCTTGTCAAGATTTTCCATGGAGAAAAAAAAACAATTTCAATTTATAAAAAAAGAAATAAATAGATTTGTCGGTAATTTAATGCGAAAGGACCCGACTCGTATTTAGGGGACGGGTGACCCAGCGACCCGAATCTTTTTACACTCTGGTTGAATACGAAACTTTCAAAACATTACTCCTGTTGGTTACTGTAAAAGTAAAATGTTTATCGGTAAAATGTAATTGTCGACCAAAATGGTTGTTGATTAAATTGTCGGTAAAATGGCTGTCAGTAAAAACTGCTGTCGGTAAAGTTGAATGTGACCCGAATTAACACCTGGAGATCTCGAAATTGTGAGCCCTTCAACAAAATTAGCTTATCACAGGAGTAAAAATTCATCGTGGCACAACAAAAATAACATTCGGCCGTAATCTAATCATATGATTTTTTTAATCAATTATTCATGTAAAGTTAACCATATGATTCCATTTTGTTTTTGATCGGGATGATCTGAAAAAAAAAAAAAGTGATTCTATTTTTAATTTTATGTATACCAAAATATTAAATGTTTTTGTAGATTTATAAAAATTAATATAAATAATAAATAGAAAGAAAATTTATCGGTAGGGATATATAAATTATGTATATCTTTGTATACTAAATTTGGAATCAAAACTTGCAGATCCACCACTATATAGAGTATTTTGATAGTGTTCGTTCTTTGTCTTTATGTTATTACAAATTAAATAATTAAAAGGATATTATCTTATACAGATGATTATTTACATTAATTATTTATATTAAATAGTATCTTACCATAATTATTATTTCCAATTATTGCTCCCAAGAAGGAAAAGATTATGAAAAAGAAGTAACAACAAAAAGTAACAACAACAACTTTTTAAAGACAGCAATAGCATTTAAAAGTAAGCAAATTTATATCTCATGGAAGTCCGAAAAAAAAAACGCGTTCAAAATATTTGCAGGTTTTACAAGTATAATTTTAGGATAACCGGTTAGGTGATTATAAAATCAGATGATATCGAATCTGACCAATCAAATTTAAACACTAAACCTAAAAGTTCTAAAAGATTCTTTTTCAAACTAAAGAATCTTTTTTTAAAATAATTACTAATTAAAAAGTTATATCAACAATGAAGATGCAAGTTCGGCGAATACCGACATTTCCATAACTTATTATAAAAAAAATCATATAGAATCGGAATGACTATATATAACACCTTATAATAATTTCCGATCATGGAAAGAAACTTTATTTTAAATAACATGAGAAAAGATGGAAAATAAATCATAAATTACCGGAATTAATAATTAATTTTACTGGCATATACAAAATAGAGATTTTACTGTATTTACCGTAATTTTTTTTCAAATACAATTTAGACTAGTAATAAAAATCCTTCAACTCTATATTTAGTAAAGATCTACAACTAATTCAAGCCTCAATAAAGTAATGTTGTTACATTGACATTGTTTTTTCGTAATAAACCCAAAAAGGACCCGGTGATATCAGAGGTAACGAAACCAGTTACGAAGATATTGATATTGGATTATCAATTGCGTAAGTTATTAGTTATCTCAATGATGATTAATAAATAAATCAAACCATTTCAAATCCATAAATAATTTTATTTATTTAAAATTTAACAAAGAAAAAGATAAATTAATTGTTTCTTTAATAACCCCTAAAAAAATTAAGGAATAAGGATTTTTAAATTTTTTTAACTTGGGAACAATGGAATAATTAAATATTCAACCTCCTTAAATAAATATATATATTATTATATATATTTCCAAATATTAAATATTTTAGGCTGTTTCCCATCTTTTTCGAATAATATAAAAATTTTTTCATGTTAGAATAGGTCAAATTTCGGTCTCTTGAAATCTATATTAGGTAATGATGTTCAATTTATTATATAATATAAACTTTTAAATTACATTGTTTACTACTTATCTCTGAATAATTTTCTTTCTTTGCTTTTTTTAGCCGCAACAATTTTTTTTAAAACATTGACAAACACAATTTACCAAACATATTAAAATATTTTTAAAAATGTGAATATATGCGGCTGTTAAATGTACATCTTGAACTTTTATCGTAACTCACTATTTTACAATTAAAGAATATCGGTTACATTATCCATTATATTACTACTTATATATTACAATATCCGATGCGAACTTTTTATATAAAAAGCAATGACGACTTTTCCCTTTTTTGTTTCTCGGCTTATAACGGGCGGTCGATTCGTTAGTTAGTTAGGAATTTTAATATAAAGAGAATTTTTATCTATTTCTTTTTTTTTTTTTTCTTCTTCTTCTTTATTCTCTTCTTTCTTCCCCAGTAATTTTTTTCAAAAAAAAAAAAAAGAGAGAATATATTTTTTACAATATATAACACATAGAGCACGATACTTTCTTTTTTTCCCCCTTTTAACTTTGGCTCACTTTTAATTGTAATTAAAAGTGATTAAGCCGGGTTAAATTTGAGAAAAGAATATTTTTTTTTTTTTATGAAGAACCAAAAAAAACTGTAAATACAATAACATACATATATATTTCATTAAGCATATTTTCATCAATTTCATTTTATCATGGCTCATTCAAGCGACCTAACGTATTTAAGTATGTCATTATTATTTATATTTTCCTTCTCCTCCTTTTTATCTTCAACTAATGAATTCTTATTAATCTTATTTATCATTGTCATTAAATAGCTCGTGCGGTATTCATCTGTTGGACTTTTCTTTGGTTCTTGCAACATGTATGGAATATTGACCGATTTGAAGCGTTAAAATGGGGACGTGTTAAAAAACACGATTTGGTAAGTTAAATTAAATCCACTTTTCTTTTTTATCCTCAGCCGCAGAAAAATTTTTAGACTAATCACGTGATAAAAAATTATTATAGAAATCTGCGATCACGGTATTATTAGTTATTATGTGTCCATTACAAGCTTATTATGATATTTCAACATCAATCATTAAATATAAAGAAGGTTATATAGTGAATCCGTTAAACGGTGAGATTGTTATGAAACCAAATGAGTATTATAGTGAAAGTAATAAAAAATTGCTTGTTCCAACGAATTATGTTCTTTGCGCTAATTTTAGTTTACAAACGTAAGTATAATTAAATATTTTTTATTTTATTTATTTTCTACTTACTTATTTATTCATTTATTTTATTTTTATTTTATTATAGTTGTTTGTTATTCTTGCTTCAATCATTTTGGAATTATCTTGCTAAAAGTTTAGCAAAATCCTCTTTTATGGGAAGTTTCGAATTCAAATCATACATAATATACGCAATATTTAGTATTTTCATTTTTCCTTTATTACAACACTTTTTTCGAAGTAATCCTCTTTATACTGAAATAATGCCTCAATTAGCTTACTCTATATTCATGCTTTTGATCGCACTTTTTGGATTAAGATCTCATAAAAGATTCACAAATTTATTGGCAGTAACGAGAAAGTCAAGCGCATCACAAATTAATATTATATTAAAATTAGAATATTTTAGAGATATGAATAGATATTTAACTTGGAGTCTTTTCATCGGTTCAATATCATTATTGACTCTTTGTATTGATGGTTTAACTACTGAGAAATATCTTAATGTTCATAAATTTTCTGCTGACCTTTTAATGTGTCATGTTAGTTTTTCACTTTGGCTTGTATTTGTTATTTTAATGTTAATATTTTATCCTTCTACGAGTACAGTTAGTGATTCTGTTACATTAGCAAAAGCTGTTTCATTTTCTAATGCAAAGAGATCAATAAAGGATGATTTACCTGAACCTCCAACTCCACAATGGTTAAGATCACAGAATCTTGATGGTAGTCAATGGTCTTCAGTAGTTTCTTCACAACAATCAAATTCTCAAGTTGATAATAATAGTTGTACTGTTGAAATATTTGAGGAATTACCTCCTCCTCCTCCAATAATGTCTTATCATGAAAGAAAATCAAATTCTTTAGATATTCCACTTACTCCTCCTTCTCCTTATCGTCCTTATACTTCAATTCCTCCTATTAATCCTCCACCTCCTCCATTACCATCATCATCAACAACAACACCACTACCAAAAACTAAGTTGACAATATCAACGACAAATCCTCAACAAAAAATGCCTTCAATTGCAACAACACATTTAACAAATTCTCCTACTTCTCCTATTAAACTATCGAATAAATTAGAAAAATTAAAGTACCCTTCTTCCCCTATAATATCAAGAAATAATAGTTGTGATAATATTAATGATAATATTAATAATAATAATAGTTCTTTAATTAATTCTACACCTACTTATCCTCAATATTCTATTGCAAACGTTCCAATCATTTCACCTTTACCAATTAAAAATTTCGTTAGTTCTGTATTAGATGATAAACCTAGTATACCAATGAAATCTACAAGAAGACCTTCAGTAACATCAATTGATAATTCTCCAGTAATTAGGATTACAACTTCTACAAATTCTTTGAGATCAATGAATTCAATTACTCTTCCTTCATCTGATGAGGATGATAGAGAACCATCAACATTTAATAAGATTACAAATTTAGATACGAGAAAAGTTGCCCCTTTTATGTACCAAGATGGACCTGTAGAACGAGAAACTTCAAGTTCTCCTTCATCAATTACCGTCGTTACAAATACTATAATAACTGAAGAAAAACAAGAATCATCTAGAAAACAACAACAGCCATTGAATTCATCAACAGAAGTTTCAAGTTTACAACAAAACTCATTTTCACCTATTTTGAAAAATAATAAAAATAATAGAAATAATAATAATAATAATAATAATAGCACTTCATCACCTTCAACAAAGGCTTCTCCTGTGATAAAATCATCTCCAGTACCTAACACATCACGACCACCTTTAACGTCCAATAAACCATATCAAAGTTCACCTCTTGGTAGAAGTGGTAGGGGAATGAATGGAATTACGAATTCCTCTTCCTCATCTTCCACAGTTAAAAAATCATCTCCTGCGCAAATTAACAATTTGAAAACTTCAAAAGTGAAAAGTAAGAATGGAAGCATTAATAATAGTACAAGTGGTGCAGCAAATAGTGTTAAGAATAGAAATAGTATCTTAAGTACAAGAAGTCGTTCAGATAGTATCATAAGTGTTGAAAATGGTAAAGTGAATTCTGATTCTGAGAAAAAAAGTGGGATAACTAGCGTTAAGAATAGCGTGAACAATATGAGAAATAGTATCATTGGGAACAGATCTAGGTCTAATAGTACTACAAGTGTTGGAACCAAAAATAGTGTAATAGGAAGAATAAGATCCGAAAATAATTCTTTTACTAGAAAAACAGCAGGAAGAGATCGATCTACAAGTTCTGCTAGCATTTCAAGTATTTCTAGTATTTCAAGTACATCAAGTTCATCATCAAGTTCATCATCAAGTTCATCAAGTTCTAAAAATATTAAAAAGGTTATTAAAACGGGAGTAGGAAAAGTTAGAAGAAATAGTAGAGTATCATAAAAAAAAAAAAAAAAAAATATTTTCTTCTTGAATGATGATATTTGTAAAAGTATTTTAAGACTCAATAATTAAAGAAGAAAATTACTAAATATCGCCTGGGCGATCATTAGGATGGCAGAATTAGAATATGAATGTAGCTCCGCCCAAAATNTTTTTTAAAAAAAAAAAAAAAAAATTAACTTAGAAAAAAAAGAAAAATTGGTAGATTTAATTTTGCTTTAGGGTTTTTTTGTTTTTGTTTTGCGTAATTTTAGGTAATTTTAGGTTTAATTTGAGAAATACTTTATTATTATTATTATTATTATTATTATTATTTTTAATTTTATATACATATATATTATTATACACCATTTTGTAGATATTATTATTTAATGTTTTTTTTTAAAAAAAAAATTGGTCTAATAATGACCAAGTGTAATAAATTCAATATAATTAAATCATACAATGACAGTCCGATTCCTTGCATTTTTAATGAGATAAAATAAAAAAACTTTGAATTCCTGTTTATTAGCGAATAAATTATAGTGCGAAACTAGTTAAGGAATCGTCGATAACTTATACACCGTATATCGCTTAGAAACAAATTTGTTACACAAAAATTTGTAGACGCACGCGTCCAGTACTCACTCCAGTTAAAAGTGGTCCTTCTTTTAACATAAATTTTATAATTTAAGAAGTGTGATTTTTTGTATTATTGACAAAACATATACAAATTCTTGGTAAGTTCATTGGCCGATTATAAGAGATTACTGATCGAAAACTCGGTTGAATTTTGGTCAATTTATCTTGGTGCCTTATTATACCGCCTTCAGTTCTAATCTTAGCATACTCATTTATCTGGCGGTTTTTTTATTTATACACAACTCTTTGGCCTAGCATGTTCAAACCTACCAATCTCACTCATCTCGCATTCTTTTTATTTTTGCCCTATATTTTAGAGGTTCTGTCAAATTGCAGATATTTGTAATTTATATTCCTTCTGACCCAAATTTGAAGTCTCAAACCATCTCCCAATTATTGAATCTTCTGAATATTGTCAGAAAACAATTTTTGTCACGTTGTTTGTGGAAATTTTAATACACCTGGTCTTAACTCGGCCAAAAATTATGAATTTTTGGACAAATTAAGTGTTACCTATTTTGAAATTCAAATGTTTGAATTTTTTGAGTATTAAAATAATTTTATCACGAACAATTCAAAGATATTATTGGTTGATAATAAAATTCCAACCTACTTTATTGCTCAATATATATATTTGTAATGGTCAAAACCTGTTGATACCCCTACTTCAGCAGGCAAGTAACTATTGAATCTTCAGGAACCTACTCTCACAAGTATGGTCTTGAACAACCAAAAGCTGTAATCGTTAAATATCAATTATAATAATAAGCAAAGAAAAATTAGAAAAATTTTATTTTATTAGTTGATTGATGTGCAGAAAAGAATTACAATTATTAGCAATAAAATATATATATATATGTTTGTTCAATACATTAATACATTTGATTATTTGATTATCTACTAAAAATTTTTTTTCTCTTTATGTATATAAAATTGAACATTATTAAACTATAGCAACAAATATAGCAGCGACACCACAAAAGGCACCAATGGCAGTTTCAAATTTTAGGATTGAAGCACCTGCAGTATGAGTAGGTTGACCAGGAATAGTGGTAGTGGGAACAGAACTAGTTTCGGTAGTAGGTTGAGTTTTAGTTGAAACTTTATCCGATGATGATGAAGTAATTGTAGTAGTATCCGTAGTGATGGTAGTAGTTTTGGGATATAAAGTGTTTTGATGTATCGTTTTAATAACATTACATAATTTTAAGGAAAATTCATTTTGATTAACTTACCAGTATCTTTTTGAGGTTGAGAAGTAGTTGCAGTCCCGGTAGGTGTAATGGTGGTTACATACGTGGTAGTAACAATTGTTTCCGTTCCCGTTTGAACTTGTCCTTTAACCAATCCACCCAAAACGCCAAAGAGTACAACGATCAAGAAAGTAATAAACAATGAATTTCTCATTTTTTGTTTTTTTACGAATTTTTTAATGAAGTAAGTAAATAATATTATTTAACACGTAAAAAATTCTTCCTTGAAAGGATCAAAGAGATTTTAGAGATCTTTTAAATCATTTTTTTTTTTATCTCATAAGTCTCATAGTTACGCAATCATGAAATAAAATTTGTAAATTGTAATTAATCAGACTATAATGAATATGACGAGTAACGATAATAATTCGATAAAATAAAAATAATAAGAGATCAATAGATCAATAAGTATGTCAGAATAATTGTGACTCCTCAAAAGTAACGTGAACTTCAAAAGAACATGTGTCTACTGCGTCTCCAAAACATAAAAGGTTGTGGTTTTTATTTATATACATAAAACTATTTACATTATCAAAATTTCGTATTTGATAAAAATTTAAATACAAGTAATTCCGGTACGCAAGGATTAAAAATGCATAAAAACTTATTTACAGTCTTTACAGTCCTTACTTTTATCTTTTATCTCATCTTTATTTTTTTCGTCCGTTTTAATAGTTAATATATCATCTCCTAAACCGTAATTAGCTATGGTTACTCCGATATAACCATTTCCCATTTCAGTCCTCCAAGTCATTTGGGGGAATAATTCTATTAAATGATTTTTTATTTGTTTTCTATAACTCTTTAATATAGAATAACCGTTGTTAATGGAACAGAGTCTTTGGTCGAACACTGCGCTCCCATCCTTAAGAATTTGAGGTCTTGTAAAACTACTATTATAATATTTTATATTTAAGGATGAGTTATCAAGAGTGGATATTCCATTCAACATGAGATCTTCTAGCGCTACAATGAAATCTTTAACTGCCTGTGAAGCAGTTTCCTGTACGCTTCTAGCAATTAATCGCGTTGTTTCAGTATCTCTCTTAAAAATAAATAAATGAATGAATAAATATATTTATAAATGATCTTAAAAAATAAGAATAATAGTTTAAAAGTTGCTTACACTAAGTGGTAGCGTGGTTCTTCTTCTAGCAGGTGGCATATTTATAAATAAAGTTGTTACTACAAAGACTTGGTTGATCGGTAAGTGTTAAAGATGAGAGTAACAAAAAAAATTACAAACAAATTCAGGTAAGTTTAAATAATTTTTTTGTTGAGATTATACAAATTCTCACACATCCACTTCCCTTCTTATACGGGGTTGTTTATATATACTGTAACCCTCAAATCATTAAACCATTAAAAGAAAAATTGAATATTAGATAACAGAAAGAAAGAAAAAAAGATTATAAATTTATAAACATCAACATGTGATTATTAATTAAACTAACTAAAAAATCGAGAAATCCACGAAAAAATAATCTCATAAAGTTTCCATAATAAGGAGTTATTTGACGCGTTATAATCAGTTTAATATCATCATAGTAGTTATAGTAGTTTATTTTTATTTTACGATGGGAATTTTTAAGAACTCGTGTTCAAACTATGATAACTTGAATCATACTATTAAAGGATCATACTATAAAAAAAAATAATTTTCTCTATAATTCAAAAGCTCCCCGATCAAATAATACTTTTGAAAATCATAATTTCAAGTGTAAAAACCGGAAAACTGAAAAAATTGGAAAAAACTGGAAAAATCGTGAATCAAAGTATTTTTTTATGACGTATATCATTTTTATTCTTAAATATTATTAATATTATTATTATAATTGCCTATCATCAATAAAGAAACGTATAAAAATAATTAAATTCTAATCTATATCCGAATTGTTTATTGTAAAAGTTCGAGATCCAGTCATCCAGTGGCGGTCTTGGCCGATCGACAAAGATTCATTGTAAAATTTAATTGGTTACATGTTTATTTTATTTAAGGTTTGGCGGAAAATACCTCTCAGAGTGCCAAGATTCCTTAAACAAATTGTTTAGACGGATTGTGTAACAAATGCAATAATCCAATAATTTCAACCTTTTAGATATGGTTTTCCATATGGTTGTTACCCGATCCCACATGGCTTTGTCAGCTTTGTTAAGTCCGGTATATTTATTCCCTTTTTTTTCAAATACTTTTATTGAATCTATAGATTTATTGGATGTCTCTTTGTTACTTATTATCAAAGTTTGAAACATTAAATTGTGCGAGTATCCCCTTTATATTTATCAATCGATTGTCCTTATTATATTTTAAACCCATTTGAGGAAAATTTTTTTATTTTTAACAATTTCCATAAGATGACGGTCGCAGCATGGTTAGGGAGTAGGGACAAAAGGAGTTATTCATTATACATACCAAATTTGATTAAATTCTTATAGGATACTTATCATTTTAATTATAACTACTTCTTTGGAAATATAACTAACGATGCTTGGTATAAAAATGCAAAATTTTTAATTAAGTTTGTTATTATTGTACTTCCTGTTCTCCGATTGAACGGAATATGAAACAATGCAGGTTTCTTGGCATTGTCGTACATCCCCCCGTTCTCTTAATAGAACAAAAAAAATAAATAAATAAATAAATAAAGGAAAAAAAAAAATTTGTCTAACAATTAAGTTTTGTGCCACTTGTGTTGCATTTGCGTAACTTTGTGATACCGAAAATTCTTTCTAATTTGGATTTGTTTTGCATATGTCGTTAAACCTATGACAAAAATACAAGTTTAGTACGTCATACTTTCTTAATTATGATAAGAAAAAGAGTAAAGAATCGAGAGGAAATTTCTAAATTCTTATATCTATTACCCTTTTTAAAAAATAATTAAATTCTTCTTAAACTTTAATATACATATTATATGCATATTAATTAATTTTTTTTTTTTTAAAAAAGTAAAATAATAAAATATTTATTTATAGTACAAAGATAATAATTTTTAGTTACAAATTTTTTTTTTTTTTTACCCGCTTTTTCTATTATCTCAAAAAAAATTTAAATAGTTTCACAAAGTGATTATAAAATTGGTTAAAATGTAATTTATATCCATTGTACATTTCAAATTTAAATAATTTTAAATAATAATAATATTATTTCAAACGCCGAATATAAAAATAAAATTTGTTCACGTGATTACATCTTTTTATTATCAACAAAGATAGACAATAAGATTTACTATAAATAATTTTATAGATCAATAAGGCTAAAACCAATTCCTCCTCAAATTGTTTCAAAAAATTCGAAACTAATTAAAATTTATTTTTATCTTGAACATTATAAATACGATTAAAAAATTGGCCCCTATCCTCTCAAAAAAAAAATCATTTTTTTCATTTTTTCAAAAAAAAAAAAAATTCCTTACCCTTCTCAACAAAAAAATATCTTTTGATATAAATCTATTTTCATCCTTTTTTTTTATTATATTTTAAAACAAAAAGAAAAAATGGTTAACACTAAAGTTGTCATACTTGTCACTTTATTCGTAGCTTTACTTGGTGTAATTCTTTCAGTTACTGCCGCTCCTGTGGATCGCGTAAATCGAAGAGGTAAATACATATAATTAAAACTATTATTAAATAGTAGTTCTTTATTAATATTTTTGATTTATCAATATTTTAGTTTCCTTTGTTAAGCGTGAAGAAAAAAATCAAACAACTTTACAATCAGATTCAATTCCTGTCTCTTCAGATGGAGATGGTACACTTGAAGCATACAATCCTGATGATAAAGTTCCTAAAAATGTTACCGATAATGGCAACAGTGCTGAAGGAGATAATGGTGGATTATAAAAGATCATATCCCTTAATAATTAAAATTACACATATAAAATTAATTTAATAAATTTTGTGTGGTTTTTTATTATTTTCGTTTTATTATTCCACCCTATTTTTTTTTCTTTATTTTTATTATGTATTTATATTAATTTTTAAAAAAAAGAGTTTTTTTTTTTTTTGTAAAATTTTACATCCTTTCTAGAAAATTTTGTACTTAATAATAAAATTAAAAAAAAGATTTCTTGTTTTATAGAAATAACTATCAATTAACATAAAAAAAAGTTTACAACTTACAAGTGTGTAATATATTTGGTTCATTTCACGAAAATTTCTATTTCGATTCATGATAAGATCATAAACACTGATGATTTGGCCCGAATCAAATCTGACTTTCAAACACTCGACGATTTAATTAAACATTAATAAATCTTGTGAAAGTGTGAAAATTAGTAAATTGTAGTTTCATCGTTTCATAATGAGAAAATCAATATTAATAACAAGTGTGTCCTTAATGAGATAAATAAAATAATCAACCGGTCGACAATTTCCTACGATTCAATACCAGGACATCATCGTCTGTGAATAAGTCTGTAGGCTGTAGCGAAAAACATTGTAACGATCCATAAAACTTGTGAACGTGACGGTTTAATTAAGGTACGATGCTTTAAAAAAAATTTCTTTTTGTAATCGGACGTTTTTATAATCAGAGTCATCGCTTCGAATGATAAATTTAAAAATTCGTTCCCTTCATCTATGTAAAAAAATTTAACACTTGTCAATATTCAGAAAATATTAAAATGTGCAAGGGCTTCCTACATTATATCAGTCCTTACCCCAGATAAGATTTTTTCAACCAATAATATTCAATAATATATATATTATTAAATTTAAACCAATAAAAATACGCTTAACCTTAATCATTTTTTTTTTTTCTAAATTGAAAAAGACGAAACAGTCGAAACACCAATAAATTACTTATTAAAACCAATCCAATTGTTAGAAATTGTTTTCGTTGCTATTTTACTCAAATATGTGTTTGATATTAATATCCATTATTTGATAGCGATGCTTGCGCTTTCGATAATCCAAAATCAGACTGAGAGATCAACATTGGATTATATTATTCAAGTACTGTATATCAATATATCAAGATTGATGTAATGAAATATTCAATGCATAATATGACTAATGTAAAAAAATGTAAATTCCATATCCGTATAAGGTATTTTTTTTTTTTTTATGATTAATTTAAATAATAAATTATATAAAGAATAAAAGAGAAAAAAGAAAAAAGTAAGTTGCGCGTGAAAGAATAAATGTGTAACATAGTAAAATATATTTTATCTTTAACAAAATAGAGTGCAATCAAAAAAAAAAAAGTTATAAAATTAAAGTTTTGTAAATCATGTATTACAGACAATTTTAAAAAAATTTTAAAAACCCTCAAAAATACACAACAGATTAAATCTCGATTTGATCATGTACATTAGAGAGATATTGATGACTTCTATTTGTCACGCATATGCATAATATATGCAGTACATTTTTATTGGCAAAAGAACTCTATTTTTTCTTTTTCTTTTTCTTTTTTTAAAATAAGATCCAGTTGAAGATAGCACAATTATTAATTTGAAACTGAAGTTGAATAAAAAAGATGTTTAAAATGATTTAGATAATATTGAATCAGAATAGTATAAAACTTTATCTTTGGTATTATTTCGACAAGAATCTATTTTACTTCGAATGTATTAAATATTCGAAGGTAAATATAAATTACCTTACTTTACGATGTGAATTCGATATAATAATTTTATCCGAATGGTTAACTCTTTACAATAGTGATAATATTCTATCAATATATAACAAAGAGTATAAATAAATTAACCGGACTATCTACTTTAATGTAAAGCCACTATTTACTAATGTAAATCCACTAAAATACGACTGCTTCACCTTGTAAACGGTATGCAAGCATTTATTTTTTGTATGCCAGGGTTGTACCCCAGCTTACTAGATTGTGGCGCAACAAAAATCATAAAAAGAAATTTTTTTTTCTAAATAAATTGTTGTTAAAAGTTACTAGCTAGGTATAATTTTTGCTGCTCTGCAAGTTTACTTAGAGTGACAAAGGCAGTTTTAAATATCGTTATCGACTTATTTGACAAAAATTTTTTCTTTCGCTAAATCTATTTTGGAAATGATCAAAATCAATCATTTATATGCAAAGTCAAAATCGACATTCAAAACCTTTTTCCGAATCCTAAGTAGAGCAGGTGAAATTATAACTACATTGTAAGTTTAAAAGCTTTTATGCCAAAGAAAAAAAAATCCTTAATGCCCTTTTTTTGAAAATTGCCGCGCCACGAACCTGGCACTCAAAAAAGTGGTGCAGACAGAATCGGGCACTTGAATATTGCCTCACTAGTATTTGAATTCATTATGTTAGTGTTCGAATCTATAGTATTTTTATCATGCCCATTTCCCGAAATCATTTCCTTAGAAATAACTGTTACCTCTGCCAACATCTCTGGCTTAATTTTGCTATCTCAGCTTTAAGATCAACATTCTCGAGTTTAGCGGTAACTGCATTAGTTTTCTCAAGCTCCACGATTACGGCATTAAGTTTGCTAATCTTAACTGAATAATCCGCTATAGTTTTCTCCAGCTCATCGCTTCTGGCAAACTTTAGTAGTAACTTCTCTCTAAGTTCAGCATTCTCCTTCCTAAGTTTGGCAATTTCAGCTAAGAGCTTGACATTTAATTCTCTTAGTGAATCAGTGGATTGCTTGTTTGATAATATTTTTTATACAAGGTGGTATAATTCAAAAGTTCGTTAGCATAGATAAAAAACGAGGTAATATCCTCATCGGAATTATTGTTTTATTGATATAGAAAATAAATTACAAGTTTCGGTAATACAATCTTATTTACAAAGTGAAATAGAGTTTCTATATTAATGCCTGCTGATGTTTTGTTCATATTAGCTATTTATATCACATCCCAACATTAACTCTAATCCGATTTCATTTGTCCCCAAAATCGATATTCTGGATATAATAAAATGGTCGTCAGTTATGTGTGCATAGAACATGCAGATTTCAGAAATAAATTAACAGCATTTACCTTAGTAAAACTCATCTTCACTTAGTACTTTTTTAAAAAAAATTGAAAAACTAAGAAAAATATATGTGAAGTAGAAAGTTTATGTTCCCTGCCTAATAAGGTCCTGAGCAAAAAAATAGATATTAGCCTTCGCAAGCTCTGAATCGCTTCCTTGTCCGTACTTCAATAATTTTCTCGTCAACACTTCTTTCAAACTACGAGTAAACAAAAAAGGGAAAATCTTTACATCATAGAGCGTTACTGCGCTTTATTAATTTATTTTCAATTAGTCAATACGGGGTCGTGTACATCACGTGATCTAACACTGGCTACATACAAATGGGCGTACAGCCACTCGTGCGACCTAAAAATTACGTAACATTAATTACCTTTTTTTAATAAATACCCTGAGAATTCGAAAATCTAATTAATCATTTTTTTTTTCATGTACTGATAACTTTTTTTACTATGCTTATAATGTATCTATATTATTTACTGTATTACGTCACTACAAGCCACCAAAAGTTTATGCAAGAGTCTATCAATCTATAGTCACGATGTATTCAGAAAGGTATATAAAGTGTATATATACCTTAGACTTCTCTCAAACTTTCTCTAATTTTCTTAATTTTCTTGAAACTTTTCTAAAGACTAATCGCTTCGCAGGAACAAAATGATGTTGTCACTTAATTGTTTGATTCTAGGACAAGCTTCCGTAAGAAGTTTCACTGAAAACATTTGCGAAAAATATTACGACGATAGAAATGTTGAAATCGAATTTTCTAGATTTAATGTTTCACATTTTAAAGAGATGCTCTTTCGTAGGGAAACCATAAAAGATATAGTTCGAAATAATGAAGAAATGGATCTTTGGAAAGTTGACAGCAAGAAGGTTGATGAAGAAGAAAAAATTTACTGAAAGCGATATCAGAGAAAAACTCGGAGGCGAAGTGATGATCCCTCGATTCCCGCTTGAAGTTTATTTTAAGGCTAAGGAAATCGATGCACGGGGTATTCATATCTTCATAGTTCCCATCTCCACTCGTAAGTGTCTCCCAACGTTTTACCTCCCGAACGAGAAATTTGTAGTAACAAAACATCGGGTTTGGTCTGATCTCTTTTTTTAAATTGTTTTCAGCTGTTGGACAAAAACGACACGCAGATTCAGGTATGTTTTTGACACAATGATGAGCTCAAAATCACTATTACTAACGGTTGATGTCATTCACCTTTTTCTAATTATAGAACCCGTTGACACAGGACCAAAGCGACTAAAAATTGTTCCGTTTCAGGATGTATTCGAAAAACTTAAAGAGAATATCCTTATTAAAGAACCCCGGAACTTTATCCTGATTCAGAGCAATATGTCGCTGGACGTTTCTACAAAAGTAAAATACCAATTAGTGGTAAAGACTTTATAGATATGCGTCTAGATAATGAGTGTACTACTGACAGCGGCAAGTATCTTCTCGGAAAATTGAGAAATGCACGCGAAGGTTTCTATTTACTTTATGCCATTTCCGGAGCTGGCAAAACTAGAACAATTTTCGACATTGCTATGAATAATGATGGTATCTACTAGTGTATATGGAGTGTAGGACGGCAGATTATGGCAGTTTAATTCAATTAGAACCAACAAAGGATCGTAATTTTAAAAGACTTGTTGATTCAATAAGATCAGCCTTCTCAAACCATAATTATGAACGTGCTAGAGAAGAATCAAAGCATCTCATCTGTTTAGAAATTGCTGCACGGATTTTCTACCTTATTCTTCTCAAAGAGAAGTTCCCGAATATTAACCACGTGATTACCTTGTCGCAAAAATCAATGGTGGACAAGAAAGTATCTTAACAATTAAAGATGAATTGAGGCTTGAATATGAGAATGTCGACCTGGTATCAATTATTGAATCCGCTTTGGATTACTTGAAGGTATTAAATAATATATTAATTAAACTAATGTACATTTACTTTTGTAATAACATTTTTAAATTATTTGTAACATAACAGAATAAATTAGTTGGCCAAAAATCACTTATTTTCGCCATTGATGAAGCCAATGTCGCCAACAAAAAACTTTTTTATGGCGATTTTCGTAATAGTAATGGAAAACCACGCGGTTTATTAACACCAATTGTTGCGATTCTTAATTTGTTTAATATTTCAATAATAGTAGCTGGCACCTCATTTCCCTTAAACGGGACGGTGAGATCCAAGGTGGTATTGGTAGAGAAATTACTTCAGAATATTTTACTGACTTCAAAACAACAGAAAGCAAAGATGTTGTAGACTACTTAGAGCGTTATCTTGATTTACCAGACTGTGACATTAAAAAGATCGAAAATAGTAAATATCTTGTTGGTCGTCCTCGTCTGGTGGCTCGCCTTGTAAGGGAAATAATAAATGCAGAAATAGTGTCACGAGAAGACAAACAAATTGTGCTTGAAGACGCTGTAAATAAGACAGTGCAGTCTATCAAAAATGATATGACACGCCATCTTGAAGCGATAGTAAAGGAAGCATATGAAAAGGAAGATTTGGGAAATGTAGAATTACGAAAAATCTTGATGATACTCTTTATTAACTGCTGGTATGTTCTTATCATATTTATTGTTTATCCATAAACTGATAACTCACTATAGTAAAACAATATTTCAAGGTTCTTTGATGGATACGTATCTGAAAGTGAAATAGATGATTATTCGGCAAAATTAGTCGACTGTGGTATTGCTTCATTGAAATCAGACAAAGATAAAATATTTTGGCAAGTCAAAGAACCTTTAGCGATAGAAGTTGTTAAAGCTGTCCTTTTTTCCCGGTACAACAAACCACTGAACCGCTGATTGAGAAACTCTTATATGAATTATGGAAATCTGCTTATTATAACGACAGCTCAAATACATCTAAAGGCATCATTTGGTCATAGGAAGATTAATGGATTTCAATAATAAAACGGTTTTTGAGTTTGTTAATGAAATTTATGGTTACGATCAACTATATCTGCCAAATTGGACTAAAAAAGCAATAATCGATATTGAATCATATGGAAATGTACAAATGTTTTCTCAACTTGATGTTAAATTGAAAGATGATGTGGATGTTATTAAGAGTCTTTTATACGAATCAATATTTTCAAAATATATGCTTGTACCTGGACATTTAGTACGTCCAGATGGTATTTATATTAGTAAGCTAAATATAGATACTTACTGGACCTTACTCATCAGTACGAAAATGTACACCAGTAAATTGTCAGGTAAAGGTGTTGATGATGACAAAAATTCAACAGATTGGAGTCTTCTGTATCACAAGAAGAATGGCGAAGTAACTTGTAAAAACCTAAAGGAAAGACTTGATGATGTGCGCCAAGATTTTACCTGTCAAGGTTCATTGCGAATTCATTTCATTTTACCTGGTGTAGCTCAAGAACGTACTTCAAATCAGTCAAGCCGATCAAATAGAGGTGGTTGCTTTACTGAAAATAATGATGTCATTATGTATATTGACGAGAAATTGTTAGAACGTTATTTTAAAGGCAATTCTTACATAAAATTTAATGTAATATTCTAGAACTTCTTATCCAAAATATCCTACTGCGAGATAATGTAAAACAATGTATAATAGAAAAAAAAAATATAAATCAAAAAATGTGTAAGCGAAATAAATTTATTATATTAAATTGCATGACCTGATCAAATTTTTATTTATTCATACACGAGTTAAAATTTGCCAGAAAAATTTTTATTCATACATGCAAAAATAATACTAGCCCAGAATACATGACATCTACGCTAATGTACACGATTATTTTTTCGATCGATAACCCTCTACCCTAGCCTTCTTCCTTTCTGGTTCTTCATCTACACACTCCACCCTATCCTTCATCAACCCAACGATAACCTCAATCCGCTTCACGTTTTACGCAAATCTTTCTCTTCCTCTGATCCTTCCTTCAAAGCAGATTCGGAAAATCGAATATTAAGGGGGTCCTTGCTCATGCTTGATATCCCACCCGAGGCGAAAAGAATAAATACTACTCTCTGCGGCTGTTGTAACAATGCCGTAGATATAGTCGAAGTCTTCCCCGAACGCTTCGCCTGATTTACGTTTCCTATTCTTTTTTTTTATTAACCTGTAGAGCGTTCTCGCATTGCACCAAATTCTGAGCAAAGCCCATGGTCACTTGATGCAACTTCCCTTCCGTCATACAAATAAGTTCCTCGAGAGCCTTGATTGCGTAATCAACAAAGGTAAGCTCTTTATCAGCTATTCTTTTGACGGTTGAAATATACTCGCAACGCACGGCTTCATTGCTATCAGCAAGCATAGTCTCCATATTTCCCAACCTGCGCTTTATACATTGTACCAATTCTTCGTCGTTTCATCAATCATCAAATTATTAGTATTAGGTGCGAAAAATTTTTGTAATAATTACCAATTAAATTATCAATGCGATTATAAAAAATGAATATATTTCTATTGCCAGCAATCAAATTTACAAAAAAAAAAGACGTGAGTTTGTTGTGTTTTCTTCTTGATTAATGAGTGTTCAAATAAAAATTATTTCATATTACAATTCTTTACATTATATCAGAGGGATAATCTTAGAATCCATTTAACACAATATCTAATTAACTATTGATAATAATTTTTTAGTAAATAATAACTTTGTGGAAGTAATTTAATTACCGCAATTACAATTTGCCTCAAGGAGTCGATAGAACGTTTGTAATTCGTATGATGCGTGCACTTCACGTGATCACTACCTCTGACCGCTTTAATATGTGGCTGGCACAGCCATTACCCGCACAGCACGGGCGGGTTTTATATACCATGTATAAATTGTATAATGTATTAGTTGCGAAAGCGACTTCCCTTTTTTATTAATAAAGCGGAATTGAATAACGTTAAAAAGTTCGAATTTATTAGTAAAATATATGGTAACTTAGATATTGTGAAAATGAATTTCAAGATTTTCTTTTTTGATAAATTTATAAGTTAATCGTTCTTGTTCCTCTTTACTTTGTATTTGTTCGATTATTCAAATAATCACCATTCCACTATAAGCAAAATTTTTTTTTTTTTTTAAAAAAAAAAATAAAATAAAAACGGATGAATTGAAGAGTCAAATAATTGGTACAACAAATATTGCGTAAAGTACAATAATTAAATTATCCCCGTGGCTGTGTGATTCCGGCCACATTTTATTATTTTGATCCCGGCCGAGCTAATGTATAATTAACTAATTATTTGTCGGTCCTATTCGCTTTGCGGGGCTTTGAAATCTTTTCCGTCCCCCTAGCCTGGTCAAATTTCATATTGTGTAAATAAAATAAATAATTACAATAAGATAGTTATCCTTCATATGAAAAATTTTAAATATGATGTATATTTCTTATTATACCTTTTTCTATTTTAATTTATTAAATATGAAACTGGGGAAACTGGGGTCAGGTCCAACGTTTCAGGTGCGAGATCCCGAAACTAGTTTCGTCAACAAGTGTGAAACCGAAATTTTGTAACCTCCAAAATCTCCGTAACCTTGATTGACATATTCACAACGTGCGACGTAATATAGAATAATAATACATTTAAATTGAGTAATATATTATGAAATTTGAATGAAATTATTGAGGCTATATAAATTTTATGATAATAAATCATTTTAACACATTTATTGTTTTTTTTTTATGGGGAAGTTTCGGATATTGAGTAATTTATTGTTTAAGGTTTCAGGAGATTATGGAAGTTTCGGCCAAGTTCCGGAATTTGACCTCAAAAGAGAAATGATTCGCCCAGACAACACCCTACCATAAAAACCGTAAACACCTACTTAATATACGTTTTGAATTGTGTATATTCATTATTTAAATAAAAGATGATGTAAAAATACTTCGATTTTGACAATCACGTGACTGGAAAAAAAGGTTATGTTGTCGAAAAAAAGTTTAACACTTGTCTTTTAAAATAATACCTGATGGATTAGTACGGAGACTAGTAACACAATTAAAGACGCAACACGTTTTTTAATTTAAAGAAATCGTCAGGAATTTCTAGATTTACGGGATGGAAAAGAACTTGTGTTACATTCAATAAATATTTCTTTTTAAATTATCACAAATTTGAAGAAGTGATGATCAAAAAAATAGAATAGATTCATTTTAAAAAATAATATCATAAGTAAATCAGAGGATTTAAATTAGATCAACAAACGTAAGTATGTGATAACGGTAATTGAAAGAATAAAATAAATAGGCTTGCATGGATTATAAATGCCGCTCTTTAACAAGAATTAAAAATTACAGAATTTTTTTTCGATAAGCTTCTTTTTTTTACATAATTAATACATAATAATTATAGTATAATAAAAATTAAATAGCTACGAGGGGACAAAGAATGAAAAAATCATCGGTTTTATTTTCATTTATTCTTCCAATATTGTTTTATATTAGCATTGAATCTATAATTCAAGTAAATTCTTTAACTCATATAAATGCAAAATGTTGGGATTATTCAAATCCATTTAAACCATGGGAGAAAGATTCGTCAGTATGCTATTCACAAGGAAAAAAAAAGGAAAGGGAACATTCATTGGATGATATATCAAATAATATATTTCAGTTTGATTATAATTGTAATTTTCAAGATTTTCAAGATCGAATCTCATGTAATAAAGTAAAAGATGGAGAAATGATAAAAAATTTAATAAATTTTAATACACCAATAAAAGTTAATGTTACATTTGTCACAATATCTTTACAAGATGATGAAAATAAAATAGTAAAACAATATCCGCAAGTATTAGTAAAACAATTTTTATTAAAACCCGAACCTCAATCATATTTTAATTGTGAAAACATTGTTAGTTTAGATTTTCAATATAATATTTTAAGCGAACTTATTCAATCTTTCACAGGTTTGGATAATCAACTTATCACTCCTGATCCAAACTTATTACTAGTAAAAAGTTCAAATCAAGTAAAAGTTACATCATTAACTTCTAGTTTTAACATTTTATATATATTCATTATTGCATTAATATTTTTTAGTTATACTTTTTAGAGTTTAAATAAGGTCCAATGATCGACATGATCATCGCACTAACATTCTATTACCAGTTATCATTTACCCTTAATAATAATATTAATAAATTACTTTTTTAGAAATTAATAATACTTTTTGTAATAATCATTAATAATTTATCCCTTAAAAAAGTTGATTGATGGTACCAATTTTGGGGTTTAATTAAAAATAATTTCATCATTTAATTTTAAAACTTTACAAAACTTGTTATAATTAAAAATTTGGACAATAATTTTTTCCGATCGTTTCCGATCAACTTCTTCCTTGTGATCGTTGCGTAAATTTGAACTAAATTTTCCCAATTTCGGAACTTATATGGGAAATCATTCTTTTAAGCATCTTTTAAAGGGGAAATATATATTCCATTATTATAATAGCATTTATCATTAACATTTACGTAAAAATTATGTGCTTACAGTAACGTGGAACGTGCGATAAATTTCCCAATAAAATATTCCTACGTAATAGAACTTGGTATTTTCTGCACGAAGAACTATTCAAATCCTTATTTGTTCACGATTGAGATAAAAAAAAAAAAAATTTTTTTTTTTCTTTACGAATTATCAATGATTATCTAAAGAAAAGAAGAAAAAAAACTTTTTTTTTTTCCTCTCACATGAAGGCACATCAAACACGGTTTATTGGAATTTAGAAGATTAACGAAGATTAGGAGATTAAAGATTTACTTCTTTAAATGCATCATGATGTGTATCTTTCAACGATCATTTAATATGGCGTAAATTAAAATGATGTTATCCTTTTTATCTCAGATAAAAGAATCTTTTTTTTTTCGCCAAGAAAGACGAATAAGCGATTGCATTTAGAATGTTATTAATCGGTTGGCTTATAATTATCGTCTAAAATGTTACGTATCCTAAAACGCCTAGAATAGAATCATATCTCTACTTTATCGTGACCTTATCAGAAAACAACGAGGTCGTTCTAATGAAGATCATTGGTTCCTAAATTGGAAAACCCGATAAGAATAGTTTACACTACCTAGATGTTTTATTGTTTTTATTGTTTTATTGTTTGTGTAATTATGTCATCATGCAAACTTTTTTTCATCCTTTTTAATAATCCTTTTTTCATATATACGTATATATATACAATATATATTTACCCCCAAATTTACCTTATTAAATTCTTTTCGTCATACAATATATGAATATATATGAACCTCCTAATAGTATTGCTTTTATTTGTTTACTTTCATTTGAATTCCGATTATGATATCTTTAAACATCAACCAATCAGATTCGAAAATTATAAAATGTGTATCCCTTTATAAGAGCTATTTGCAGTAATTATAATAAAAAAAACCCCGCTTTTCGGCTTATCGCAAAGTAATTATTAATAATTCGGGTATTATTATGAATTACGTCAAAAAAGTACATTCTCGTAAATCACTCTATCGCGTGACAGAATTCAAAAAAAAAAAATCTTTAAAAACTATCTCTTAAAATCCCCTAAATTGCAATTTTTTTTTCATTTCATTATTTTTTTTTCTTTTTATTTATCGAACACACTTGTACACACATTTTTTTCTTTTTTTTTTTTAACATAAAAAAAAAAAATGTTAGTCTCTATTAAAATATTATATTTTTCCATTTTATTTTTCTTCCTTTTCATATTATTTGGACCCATTTCTTTTAAAAATTCTTCAAAATTAAAAAATGAACCTGAACTTCATGGAAACTTTCTTCATATAACAGATTTTCACCCGGATCCTCACTATGTTAATAATGTTACTGCATTATCAAGATGTCATCATAAACATCTTCAAATAGCCAAGAAACCCGAACATATGTTGAAAGGAATATCTGGTCCTTGGGGTGCTCCAGCGACTGTTTGTGATTCTCCGGTTGGTCTTATAAACGCTACTTTTGAATGGTTGGAAAAAAATTGGAAAAATAAGCTCGATTTTATTATATGGACTGGTGATAACTCTAGGTAAAATTTCTTATTTCTTTTCGTTCGTGACGTAATCTCTTTGTGTGCGCATTGATGCACGTGCCCAAGCCACAATTAAATAACCGGTTTTTTTTCTTTACTTTTTTTTTTTAACAGGCACGATAATGATGAAAAAATACCACGTTCACCTATTGAAATGTTCCGATTGAACAGATTTATAACTGAAAAATTTTTAAAAACTTTCTCAAACAAGAAAAAGCATGCACCACATTTCATTCCTATTGTACCATCAATAGGAAACAACGATATTTTTCCTAATAATATTATTAGTGCAGGACCAAATGAACTCCTTTCAATACTTCATGAAATCTGGTCTCCTTTTATTCCTAAAGGACAACATGAAACTTTTCTTAATGGAGGATATTATTACACAGAAGTTATTCCAGGGAAACTTATCGTTGTCTCATTAAACACTTTATATTTTTATGATTCTAATACCGCAGTTAATGGATGTATTGAAGAAGGTCAACCGGGTACAATTGAAATGAAATGGTTGAATAATGTTTTGAAAGAAGCTCGCAAGAATGGAATGAAAGTTTACTTAACGGGCCATGTTGCACCAAGGGCTAAACAATACACGATATCATGTTTTAAGAAATACGGTCAATTGTCATTAAAATATCAAGACATTATATTAGGTCATTATTATGGTCATTCAAATATGGATCATTTCTTTTTTATTAGTTCTAGTGGGGTAAAAAAAGATAATCCTAAGGATGATGAGGAGGTACTATCAATAGATGATGATGATTTATATGATGAAACAGAAAATGCAGAAAATGATGATGAAACCGTTGAAGATACACGCATTCATCAAGAAGGACAAGAAGAAGATGGGAAGATTGAGACAAAGGTTAAAGATCTTAAAAAATATATGAAACAACTTCTCACACATTATCGTGCATTACCTCCTCTTACTGAAGATAATGTGAAAAATTATGCTGTTGTACATATTAACCCATCCATAATTCCTACATTCTTTCCCGCTTTGAGAATATTTAAATATAACACGACTGAGATAAAAAATGAAGTTTCTGATTTGGATGCTCCTTCACTCAAAAACACTTTTTTAACGCCTTTAGGTTACACTCAATATTTTATAAATCTAACCCATGCAAATTTGTTTCCAAACGTTACACCAGAATTCACAATCGAATACACAACATGGGATGATTATTATTTGAAAGATTTAACAATACCGAGTTGGATACGATTGGCGAGAAAAATTGTTAATGATGGACTTAATAGCGCATTATGGGATAAAATTCAAGAATATTTATTAGTAGGAACAAGAGATTTGATTATTCGAAAGAGCAGCTCATTCCAAAAATGTTCATATTCGAAATGCCCTGCAAAAGAACCAGAAGATTATATAGCTTCGGAACTTACGTTTTAATGTTTATTGATTTATTTAGTAATTATTTTTTTTTTTTTAAAAAAAAAAAAGGACACTCTTTTTCAAAATTTTTTTCAAAATTTTTTTTTCATTTGTAGATAATTATTTTATAAATATTCATCTTTTTTTTCAATGTACAGAAATTTATTTTTTTATAATAATAATGAAAGAATATTACATTTAACAAATAATAATAATTATAATTTATCACATCAGACATAATAAAAAATAATATATAATTAATCAATATCAGAGCAAAAATAAAAAGCCCTGATCAAGTACATCATACAACTTCTTGATGCCTAACAATGAGATCAATGTTTTTTTATTTAAAATTAAAAATTACCAAATAACACTGATAAAGCCTTAATGCTTTTACGTTATTAATAAATAAATAACAACAAAGCCATTTTCATGATTACTTGGCCACCTTTATGATTACACCAAACCAAATATAGTCAAGATTATAAAATTTTCATAGAATTCATAGCCACAGTAAATGATCTAATCGGTCTTGGAACTTATTTATGCGAGGATCAGGGGTGAGGCTATGAAAAATAAAAATCAAAAGCCTCATCTTATATCAATTGGAAAAGTTAAAGTTAAAAAAAAAAAATCGATCATCGAAATTCGAAAATATAATAAAACAGTTTTAATTTCGTTCACTCATTTCACAAAACTGTGGCTTAGGAAATGAAAAACTCGAGAGTCTTTGATATCTAATTTCATGGCTTTTTAATATTTAATGGGGCAATGTTCATTTCATGAAGAGGCGAAGTTAAAATGGGCTTTGATAAATATGTCATTTTATTTTAATTCGTTTATCATTACTCTATTTTTCATATTCATCAAAAGTGTATATAAATCTTCAACATCCCCCATGCTGAAAAGATTAAAAAAAATTTTTTCTAAAAAAAAAATAAAAAAAAATGAGGCATTCTATAGTAACTATTTTAATTATTAGCGTCTTGGTATTATTGGCAGCCATTAGCATGCCATACCCACAACAAGATGGTCCAACGCCATCACCATCTCCAGGACCACCACCAGTACCGCCAGTACCACAGAATGCAAAAGAAGCTATAGAAACTGTGAAACGTAAGTAATTTATTGAGAAATACACCTCGCTTTATATCAAAATATTAAAATTTTATTGTGGGTAAAATAGAATTAGCTAATCCACAAAATCCAGCTGGCGGTCCACCGACTGATACTGTAAACACGGGAGAACCTGAATCCACTGGAGGTCCTGATGCTCCTAAAGGTGGTGCTCCTCCTGAAGGTCCTGGTGAAGGCCCTGAAGGTAAAGGCGGTAAAGGTCCTAAAGGCGGCAAAGGTCCTAAAGGCGGCAAAGGTCCTAAAGGCGGTGATGGTCCTACTGATGATGGCGGTAATGGTCCTAAAGGTCCTGATGGAAAAGCTCCTCCTGACGATGGTAAAGCTCCTGGTCCTGAAGGTAAAGGTCCTGGTGATGATGGCGGTAAAGCTCCTGGAAATGATGGTGGTACACCTCCTGATAGCGGAACACCTCCTGATGGTTCTCCTACTTCTCCAACTGACACCCCTCCAGCTGAAACTAACTAGTGTGATTTTAATGCATAAATAGAAATTAGAATATTTTATAATCGTGTATTCTCATTATACATTATTTATTTATTTTATCGAATTTTGTTTTGTTAATTAACTTTTTGTGTATATAATTTATTCCCCCTAAATACGCATTTCTCTTTTTTACTGTGTATTTACCTTTTGTATTTATTGTTTTTTTTTCTTTTTTTAAGACATTGTTTAATCAATTTTTTATTAAAAAAAATAAATTTATTTATTGAAAAATAAATTAATAACAACTAATGTGAGATTTATTATAATGATATCTCAGTTTTTTTTCTCGATAAAATCGATAAAATCGATGATCATCTTACGATCTGCTCACTTCTTACGTGACTCATTTATAATTGTTTTTTTTGAACTGGGTTTAGCTTGAATGTTAATTAAATACTAGTTATGGCGTTATATAAAAAAAAAAAAAATATCTTTTGGGTCGTAGATTTTTAATAAATATTTTACTGCGCCAGATGTCCATGAATGTGTAATAATTATGTCATAATTTATAAATTAGGATAAGGATTGAGATTGGATTGGACAAAGTTTTGTCGTCAAAATATTGTTCTTTTCGTTTCGTATTACTTATATTTATATAATAAAAGACCATATCTTATAATTATATAAGAAGTCATATATTTTTGAATAAAAAGGAGTTCTATAATTGGTAATAAAAATCCTCAAAAAATAATTTGAATATGGGTATATGTATATATATTAAAGTGATGTAATGATTGCTCATGAAAAAAAAAGTTATAAAAAAAATATTTTTTTGACCTTCTGAAACAATTTTTATTTTTCCAAAATATTAAAATTATAAATGTATTATATATTATATTATACAATTATTTATTTATTTTAAAGTATTTATTATATACATATTTATTTATATTTTTATTGGTTTTTATTTTTGATCATGTCCTTATTACTATTACCTAACGAAACATTATTAAATGTATTTCTAAAGTTAATTGAAATGGGAGGGTTAGTTATTCTTTATTTGATTCTCAACTATTAAAAACAACATTAACAAACTTAAAATAATATAATTATTAGAATACGAGATGTTTTTCGCGTTCAACGTGTTTGCAAATTATGGAGGTCGTTATCACCTGCGGCTATTGTTGACGCATTTAAAGAAGGAAAACTTCGAGATGGATGGAAAAGTAGTGTAAGCCAAAGTATTATTTATATATTATATATATATTATATATATATTATTATATATAATTATGTATTGATTCATTTTTCTTCCCTTCTTTTTAAGGTTACGTTACAAGATCATTATAAAGAAAATTATTCTTTCATAGGATGTTTTAATATTGATATAAAATTAAAATCTTATGATGAAGAAAGAAAGATGGTTCAATTTGAACTTGAAGATATAATAATAATTAAGAATGAAGCAATGAAAAGACATCTCAATACATTTATGAATGTTGATCTTAATATATTTGATCATATTTTTAATACAGGATGTAAAGAAATTGAAATAATTTTAATTAAAAAAGATAAATTAAGATATAAAAAATGTTATAAAAACGAGAGTGGTAAACAAGTTAAAGTAGAAAATACATTAACCTATTCACAAGCTCCTGTTAACGCTCTTATTAAAGTACTTTTAACTAATTAAATAAAAAAACCAATTTTTACAATGAATTTTGATTGGACGGAAAATTTTATTCGCGTTTTTAGATACCGGCTAATAATTAAAATTTAAAAGTAACGCCAAAGTTTCGATTGGGGCCGTATATGAAATATTAATGAAATTGGCTAGATATTTCCCGGTATAGTCATCTTTTGCTCGTCAGAGAACAAATTATAAATCCTTCCAAATTTCCAAATTTTCAATTAAATAAATCCTTACGTTATCCAGTTAAGTTTTTATTTTATATATATTTGATTTGCAATTTTACCAATTATCATATTCTCCCGTTAAATGTTACCGTACTTCGCAGTTCGTACAAGAGTAATAATAAGATTCTTGGAATTTTAGGAGGATCTCCGTGGAGACATTTGCGTTATCATTTTTATCTTTGTTTCCCTCTTTTATATTTATATTACATGTTTACATATTAAATAAAGACAAATGTGTTTTTATGAATTAGACATTATACGAATAAAATTTTCGTTATTAAATTTGGTACCACCCATTTTGTGATAAGGGTTGTTTTATTTAATTATAATTACAAATTTCGAATATAGTATGGGAGGCCAACTAAAAACTACAAGTTAATACGTTAAATTAACAATATATATGTCTATTAATGAAGTGTAATCCCACTATAATTAACCAACTATATATGATTGTTATCAGGGGACTTATGATGATCTGACGTAATGTTATGATATTTCTAATTCGAATAATATTAAATTTTATTTGGGGAAGACCGTAATAATGGTGTTTTTGTGAATTACGTAGCATCAGAAATGAGCTTGCCATTAATATTCCGCCATTAAAACGATACTTTTTTTTTGGTAATGTCTATATTAATATTTTGCGGCGCAACTTCGCTGCCATGCTATTAAATATGGACATTCTATATATTCTCTTCCTATTACTCGGTTGGGTATACGCTATACAAAAGTACTTGCTTTTACAACGATATTGTGAACCATTTATACGTTGTATATCAAAAACTGCCTTGTGGACTCTGCGTGGATATCTATTAATATACAGTTGTTAACGTCAGAAGACTGTTATAAATGTATATTAACCAACATCCTTATCTTCGACAGTATTTCTGCTTTTACAAACGAAATTGTGAACATTTTATACGGTGTATATCATAAAGTTGTTCATGGACTAGACTGCGCGGCGCGATTTCGCTGCCATGTTAATAACTATATTAATTAACATCTTTGACTATCCAAATCCTCAACTTTTTTATGATAAATATATTTAAGCGGATTGTATTATGGTATTGGTCATCAATGTATTAACAGTTGTTAATACAAACATCTTTAGTGAACGATAAAATAAAATGATAAAAGAATGGAGCGTCACCGTCGCTCAAAGTGGAGTAGGGGAAAGGGTTCAGTTATTTTTTTTTAAAAAAAAATTGTTGGGGGAACAAGTAGTTCAAGTAGTTATCATTTCTATATTTTGTTAGTTAGTAGACACAAAGATAACCCTATAAAGAAAGCTTCATTAGCACAATTACTCAATTTTGACAATCATGAACCCCTTGAAAATGTGCCAAGGTTTGTGCTACAGTAGTGTGAAAAAAGTAATTAGGTTTGTGCCCCCCTTCCCATACGTCATGAATAAAATTGTGAACTGCAATTGAGTTACGATTTAACAAAAAATCAAACCAGTACTCAAGCTCAGGTTTGGAAAGAGACTAGGTTATAAGATTATTCTTACCTGTATTATGATTTAGATACAATAAAATATTAGAAAAAGTAATATTTGAATAATTTTTAGAAATTCAATAATTTGACAGATTAACTTTATATTAGATTTAGTTTTAAAAAAAACTGCTAATACCTATTTAATATTTATTAAAGTAAACAATTAACCATAAATTATTTCTAGTTATAAATATAGGTAATAGGTTGAATGATGATCTAATCTGAGTCAAATTAAGGTCAAATTTTTGGTGCAATTCAGGTGTTATTTAATAGTGTTCTCCATAAGCCATTTTAAGCCATTCAAGTCTTGCTTAAAAAGGTTCAAGCTTTGCAAGCTTCATTAAGCCTATTGATTAATTAACTAATTATAATTTTAGATAATGAAATTTTGTAAAGACTTGTAAAAGCTTACTCTTTTGGATAAAGCTTGCTTGGCTTAAAATGTTTGTGGAGGGCACTGAATGCCAATTGTCTTATATTTAGAAAGAATATTTAGCTAAAATTAGGCTAATATTTAACTATTATTTAAATAACAGTAAATTTATTTGACTTCAATTTTTTACTGCAAATTTATAATTTTATTAGATATTTATATTGTGTTACAAATTATACAATCAATCTACTGTAAGGGAGCTTATAGATATTACGTAATTATTAAAAGGGGAAGGGGGTAACCAAAATTTTATGTTACACTTAATAAAATATATAATTTATAAATATTATAATTTGATTGGTTATTAAATCTGACAAGGAAGGGGGGAGTAAGTTTATATTAAACTGAATATTATGTAATATATGTAACTCCCCTAATTATTATTTAATTCTATTTTTAATATCTAATATAAAGGCTACTAATTATCCATTTATAAAGATTTAAAACTTTTAACAGCATATATTTTACCTATAAAAAAACTAAGTTTTAAAATATAAAACTTGACCCATTTCTCTAAGACAAACTATTTAAAACTTACAAAAAAAAAAAGAAACAATTAGTTTTTTTAATTAAAAAAACAAAGATTTAAAACTAAAATAACCTTTAATCTAAAACTAAACTAAAGGTAAATTTTATAATAAAAAAAAAAATAAACTACTTTTTTAAAAAATATATGGAATATTGAATTTGAAATATTTATTAAAATTTGAAATATTATATATTTCAGAAAAGAATTCAATTCAAAAAATTGCATGTTTTAGAAAAAGTTTAATAGAGTTTTTTTAAACAAAAAAATTCAAAATTTTGAAATTATTAAAACATTAAAATTTACTTTATTTTAAAAGTAAAATTCCTATAATAAAAAGTTAGAGAAAAATATATAATATAATAATTGTCCGAAGTATGAGGACATTCTACTTCTACGCATTTCAAATGCAATGTCGTTCTGTACTATAGCTGATCGATGAATAAAATTTTGTGTTACATATATACAAATTTAGCCACATGTTACAGATAATATATTAATATTGATTTTGCAATTTGCGTAGCTAAAAAATAATATGCAAGCACGTAACCGTGTAACTCCGTGATACTAATAAAACTTTAATAAATAAATAAGTAAAACTTTAAGCAGAAAGGGCTAAACTTTTACTTATTTTGATAGAAGTACTATTAAAAAAATTATATTAAGAGTGAAAACTGATTATATTGTGACTTAAAACAAAAGTCTTTAGTGAGATATCTTAGACGAATATTACACAAGAATTTTTAATATGATCGGCAATGTACAATTTTTTTTTGTACAATTATTTATGATCATGTAATTATGCAATTATACTGAATACTTCAGACGCTCCAACGGTTCCCGTTTCCTAGTATTTTAAAATTTTTATTTTAAAATATTGAAAATCTGATATCTAGTTAAAGCTGAAGTTCTTATAAAAAGAAAAAAAAAAAAATTTGAATATTTTTAATTTTGAAATTATTTGAAAAATTATTGGAATTCATATTAATAAGTTTCAAGAGAAAAACTTGCATTTATCAGAATTTTACTTACTTATAAGATAGGTTACCTTCAGGCTTAAGGTAAAAATTATATATAAAATTTTTTACAGATTCTACTATAAAAGAAAATTTTATGTTATATTGTTATGATTTTTTTTTCTTTTTAACTAATTAATCAATAGAATTTAAGAAAAAAGTAAGGTAAAAATTATTAGTAAAAGCTAATTTTTTACAGTAACCTTTATTATAAGTAAACAGGATTCTCATTTATCTAAAAAATATTTTTAACATTTTTTTATTTTCTTTTTTTGTAAAAAATGGTCTTAAAGACTTTGAGTAAGTTGTAATTTAAAGGTAAACATTTTTAATATTTTTTTATTCTTTATTTTGTAGAAAATAACATTGGAAATTTTAGTAAATTGTAATTGAAGGGTATTATTCAAAAGAAAATTTCTAAGTTTACATGGGGTGTTTGTACACAGGTCATATAAATATAATTTTTAATAGACTAATTTTTTGTTTTTTAATTTGAAATTGAATGCTACCGACATTATACTCTTTTATTTTTTATTCTTATTATATTACAGATAAATATATGTATTTTTACCTGCTCTGCAAGTTTACTTAAGGCATTAAAGGAGGTTTTGAATGCCGTTTTTAATCTACTAATATGACCCGTGTTTAAACACCCCATGTACAAATAGAAATTGCCTATTCAAAATTTATTTGAAAAAATATTTTTAACATTTTACTAGTCAGAATATTTCATTTTGTCCAAATTTTAAATTAACGAATATTAGATAAAAGTTGGTCTAAATTTGGCTGATTATTGCCAAAAAAATTGTCAAAATTATTATGGACAATTTGTACAATTTGCTTAATTTGCTTGCCACTTGGCAATCATAAATCGGTAAAAATTCATTAATTTTCCATTTCAGCTAAAAATTGATTGGCCAGTTTTAAATCTGATTTTTGATCTAAAGCTAGCCAATTTTTAGTTGATATAAAAATAGTTAATTTTATATTTATTTCTGATTTTTAAGTATAATTCAATTTATTAATAAAATTATAAAACAATCAAACCTTAATATAGCGAATCTTTAATATAGTGAATTTTTCAGACAACTATAATAAATTTCCCCTTGCTATAACGAATTAATCAATCAAATCTCTTAAAATCTTCACTATAGTCTTATAGCGAAGTTGAGGTCTGGACCCTAGGGTTCGTTATAACAAGGATTGACTGTATAAATAAAGGTATATATCTGTCTCTTATACACATCTAGATGTGTATAAGAGACAGAATATATGTAACTCCCCTAATTATTATTTAATTCTAT